CTCCGTCTGACAAAAGCACCAAGTAAAATCGAAACGCGTCTGGTAGAGAGACGCGCATCCAAAAGGACGACTCGAGATCCTCCGGGCGATGCAGCCGGGACGTTGTCACCTTGGGATTACTCGTCGATTTGAATGCCGAGGTCGGAAATCACCTCGCCCGGGATTCCATTACTTTTTCGGATGCCAGGAGGTAGGGGGACAGGTAAAATCTGGAAAAGGGGAAAGATATCAATAACCCGGACGATATCGCCCTACCTGTAACATCGCCAGGAAGATCTCGGTCTGGATACTCGAATACGAATTTCCACCCGTGAACCGTTTCTCCGTCTAAAATTGAAGCTTAGAATAACCGTCAGTCGATTTGCGACGGTGAATTCGTCCGTAAAATTGATCTCGGGAGTTTCTTACCGGTCTCCGGAGAGCTCTCGTCCGGACGGCTGCCAGCTGTCGAATGGTCGTCTCCGGTATTTATTCCAGTGATTCATCTCGCAAAGTAATAAGCGGAGGCGCCCGCTCGGACGGTATCTTCCATCTGAAATCGTTGAGAATCTCGGCGACGGTCCCGCGAACAGGCGGGAGGCCCATTTTCGGTGCCTACTCGGATTATGAGAAGCGATCGTATCGCGGCAAGCGGACGAGTCGGATCCAAGATGGCGGCAGGACGAGACACTCGGGTGCAACTTTAACCGGGAGCCCTCCACCGATGAAAGCACGCGATACGCGTTATCTTCTATCAAAAACGGCCAAGCTCTCCGTCCTTCCGTCTCCTAAAAGTCCCCCGACGGGGATCGGAGGAAACGATTCGGAATACTCGCGAGAAAGATGGAGACACGAGTCACGTGACAGGGGCTACCTCGAACCAATATGGCGTCGCATGACGCAACGCGATCCAAGATGGCGGCGCAAGGGGAGAACAAAGGGAACCTGAAACAAGATGGACCGAAACGAGCTCCTCTCGCCTGAAACGAATAATTAGTCGGCGCGGAATCCGATGGCACGATTAATAGCGAGGTTAACGCGAGCCGTGAGATAACTGGCGAGACGTTAGGCTCGCTCGTTAGCTGGCCAGCGAACCTCCGGCCCTCTGGAAGGATCTCGAATCTCTCGAGTCCGGATGCACGACTCGATCGATCATGATCGCTCGACTTGCTGTTCCTTTTGCTCCTCGGATACGAGAGAGCACCCTGCCGCTAGTAATTGAGATCGCGCTCTCGGGACCGTTCGAATCGCGGCGTTTCGTCTTCCGCACTGCGCGAGATCGGTCGATCACCCGTCACCGGATAGATACTGGGTCAATTAGCGCGCGTCGCGGCGGCGTCTCGAATTAACCGACAAGGCCTAGAAACATCGAATTTCAAATGGCTCTCTCCCCCTTACAGACGACCCGACTCTTCCTTTTAAGATGACATGAAAGTTTCATTCCATACATATAAATCGTCAAAATATTTATAAAAATTTTCTCCAAATTGATTGCACCGAATCATTTGAACCCTCAGCACGTGATTATAAAGGCCCTAAAAAGAACGCGATACTCGTGATATTTAATTTTTCACGAAAAAAAAAAGAAAAGAAAAACAAGAAATGTGATCTTGGTTCTAGTCTAGGTTAAATAAAACTTTTGTTTTTTAATTAAATTTCAGGAACTCTATACCATGTTTTCGAAGCAATTTCGGGAGGGTCTGGTCACACAGGACGTAACATGGGTCGTAAATATTCCGCAGGCCGATAATCGTTCTCCATCTCGACCAACCATCGACGTCGGCCACATGGAAAGGAAGGAGGAACGTCAACGCCGCTGCGTGGTGGCCATATTGGATTAAGCGTCGATTTCCGCGACCACCTGTCACGAGGGTCTCGAATCGTTATTTACCGATCGGTGTCTAATCCCTCTCGGAACGGGAGCGAGGCCGGCCGGGGGCGTAATTCGCAGCTCGCAGCAACTCGCAACTCGCAGCTAACGAGCCTAAACGACTCGATTAGCGCCGCAGCCTCGCGCGGACAAAAGGCCCCCGAGAATTGGACTCGTCGAGAGGCCTCGCGTCTAGGGTTACAAAATTACCGGAGAGCGTTAAGTCGCAACAAAATGGCCGCGGAGGGGCGGGAAAAACAAAGGGGATGCGGCCCCCGTTCCCCGTGCGTGCTCCGATTATGCGACGCGGGTCGAAATTTCCTCGGGCGTGCGCGGGCGGGCCTGCCGAAAGCTCCGCCCGGGACCGGCCTTTGTTTTTAAATCCCCCCTTCGTGACACACGTGGCCTAATCCGATTCCGCCTCTCCATAGCCTCCATTCTAACCTTCACTGCACGCACGAATACATATCCCCACTTTCTTAGAAATATTCGATAAAAACAAGTCGAAGGTATTCCAAACCATGAATGTAATTATCTCCGATATTTAACGTCAGACTGTAAATTACGGCAAATATCGCTGTCGAAAAATTCGGAAAGCCTCGGAGAGTAGTTTTTACATTATATTTCTAATAATTAAGCTATAAATAGAAATTGCGACTTATGAAGAAATTCTTTGGACAAGCTGATACGAATGGTAGCGTGGCCGAGCGGTCTAAGGCGCTGGTTTAAGGCACCAGTCTCTTCGGAGGCGTGGGTTCGAATCCCACCGCTGCCAAAGTTTTTTACCTCTCAAATCCACCTGCTGTAATTTCTATATGTCGGTTTCTTTTTAGCCCTGCTTTTGAATACGTTCTCCGTGAAACTGCGTAGAAAAAACAAAGTTCCTTAGATCGGAGGTGCCTATGGCAGTGCGCTCTGTCGGGACTTTCGCGAACACGAGTGCTGACTTACCAACCGCGGGAACTGCCGTACCGTTCACGCCTCACCTCATATGATATCGTTAGTCGATAGTTCATCCACAGTCGATGGAACCAAGCAAAATATATTTATACATCAATTTAAATAGTTTACTGTACACCGTGACTAACATCGAAAATGTTCGTGGGCGTTAGGAAGGAACATAACCTGAAAAATCTATAGAAAATCCTAATGATTTTACTAGCTTATTTTAAAGTTTCCCCAGAATTCCAAAGTCAATGGGTCCAATATATGAATATCAAGAGCATGAAAGAGTTCCCCGCTCTCCAGGACTAAATTGATCCTGGAATAAAATGCTAGAATAAACCGGTGTATCGGTAATCAATTTTTCCTGGGACATTTCCGCCCTCGCTCGGTCCGAAATGTCATTTCCATGCTCGCCGAGTCTTGAGTTTCGGGGCCCTTGCGTCGGGCATGGACGTTTCCGGACCGTGGTCCATTTCCGCGGACTTCGTTGGGGAATTAAATGCCGGGATCGAAAATGGAAAAAGGGCTCGGCGCGGAGCCTCGGAGAGAGGTCCCGGATCAGCCATGTGGCCCATGTAACGCTCGCGGCACATGTAATCCATGTAACAGACATGCCTGGAGCGTCGGACACGGCAAACGAGCCGACCGAGAAAACGAACGAGGATCCTTCCGAATGGAACAGGCGAAATGAGATTGTAATCGAATCACTCGATACACGGTATCGCCAGTGCACGCGTGTACTTCCCCTTTCGCCCTGCAATCGCTTCTCTCGGGCCATTGGCGAGCCCAGGGGCCCTTCAAAAGAGACCGAGCAAGCACGTCTCGGTGATCGTTTGGCTGCTGCGAATAAATTACTTTCGAAAAAGCCCTCCAGGCTGCTCTTTGAAAGCTATATGGGTCATAATCGCCGTCCTCGAGCCGGGCCCTAAAGGGCTCTAAAAAACGCCATTGTTCCCAAGCACCGAGGACTCTGACAAGGGACAAGATCAATGTATTATTGAGTTCAGGTCATCTCCCTGATCGGTAAAAAAAAATACGGCAACGATTTATCGATTTTTGGGAATACATCCTGTAACAGTGCCTACAGGGATCGATCATTTTTATTTACAGGAGCTTACGTTTTGTTCTGTATTATTAAAATATTACGGTATAATCGGTATAATTGACATGGAGGTTTAGGTTATTTTAGTTCATTGAATTTCTATTGTGAAAATGTAGGAAAACGTCCCAGAAGGACGAAGGGCGCGATGACCGGATCAAAGCGCAAGAATCGCCGCTCGGAGAGAAGCTCCACTTTGAGGCCGATTATGGCTAGAATTGCGGTCGAAAATTAATGCGTCGCTAAAAGGGTGGCTTTCTGGATTCATTACAAGCCGGAGATTGACGTCGTATCAAAGTACGCGCCTAGGCCCCGCTCGACAAGGAAGAATTCCAGTCTAGAGATAACTCGGAGTATCGGCGCAAAGGGTTGGACCATCTCCGCGCGATTATCGCAGTTATCAGTCATTCGATGGAGATACTCCTCGTAACGGCAGTCCACATGTAACCGAGAATCGCGCGAACGGCTGAAAAACGCCTGGCCAAGATAATCCACCGACTTGTGCAACATCTAGCGCGATTTCGCGAGTTTATCGCGGATTCGCGCCTCCTCGGTGGCGGCCATTTTGGAATACTCGCGGGAATATTCTACCGGGATAAATAATACCAGGGATAAAAGCCCTCGCCTCCTCCCCCTTGCAAACCGAGATTGAAACGGAGGAGGAAGAGATAGGGCGACTATAAATATTTATTATCCCGAAGAGGGCATCACCGCGGACGAAGGTTGCACTTCGCTGGAAACGTCGACTGCTCTCGGATAAGTAGGATAAGACTCACTTATTGAGACATCGACGATATGGGATTACCACGGTGTAATACTTCTCGATGATCGATTTAATTCGAATTACTTGAGTCACGCTTCCCTTTAAATTACGGTACGTGAGTACCGAGGTCTTGGAACGATTGACGAACGGATATTAAAAATACCCCTACACGTGGCTTTCGCTGAGCGACGCCCGATAGCGAATCTCGCAGGACTTTGAATTTCGGGAGATAAGCGATAAGGACGTCTACGGGGTGATTACTCACGAGCCAATCACTCGGAAGTGTTTCCTCGAAGAAGAAAAATCGACATTTCGATCCCGTTACGCACGGTCGCGGGTTTAAACCCGAACGCGGTTTCGCATTCGCTCATAAGAGTGCAATTCTTTCACCGAGAAGACGCCAGCTTCAAGGTTCCACGTGACGTCGACCTTCCGTCATGTATCTCAGATTATACTTCGATACTTGTTTAAATATTTATCTCCATACCGCGAGGTGCAGTCTTGGTTTATGTAAAACGTTAAAAAACTAAGCCAAATTGTGTGAAACGCATAAAAATTGAAATCTGCGAGGGCGCCAGGGGCATTTAGTGTTAAAAATTGAGCTAAATTGTGCAAAACTAAATTGTATAAAAATTGAAATCTGTGAGGGCGCCATTCGACGTTAAAAATTACGCTAAATAGTATAAAACTAGATTGTATGGAAAATCTCTGCGAACGCGCCAGGGGCTTCCGACGTTAAAAAGAAATTCAGCTAAATTGTGTGAAACGTATAAAAATGAAGATCTGCAAGGCCGCTGGGGATATCTAAGGTTAAGAAATTAATCTTAATAGTGTAAAACGTATATTAATTTAAATCTGCGAGTGCGCCAGGGACATCCGATTCGGAGCGGCGTATATCGGCGTATATCGGCCGAGTGTGCGAGGTTCCCGACCTTAGCTCGAGAAAAACTCAAAGTAGAGGCAAGCCGCGATATCTACAGTCGTTCCCGAACCGGCCGATGGGAATCTTCAGTCCAGCCCGAAGTCGACGGCGTTTTGGTCTAAGGGGGAAAATAGGCTCCCGCTCCTGAAGGAGAGGGAAAGCGGCCACCTGCTCGAGAGCGAGGAAGAGGAAAACGGAGGAGAGAGGGGATACCGAGCCGTACAATAAGAGACAACGTGGCTTTCGGCTGGTCGACACGAACTGCCTCTTCCGACAAACTATTTCGGCCATCAGTCATCATGAAGGACACCACGGTTGTTCGAGTGTCGATCTGGGAGATGGTCAAAATGCACGCTCTAGCGTTCATTTGCGGACTGTATCTGATAGTTCGGCGATTTCTCAAGTGGGCCTGGGACCCTAAACAGTTCTTCGTCCTACAAGAGAGGGACAAACCTCCTCTTTGTCTCGTCGACAGCAGCCTCGGGAAGCATTCTTACGTCAAACTCAAGGTGAGCTCGTTGCTCGACTCTCGGTAGTGGGCATTGTAAAAACGTGCCATTTCACTTTAACACTAACTCATTTTTCGACTCGAGCCAAGAAAACCTGATATAACGTGAGCAAAATGAAATTGACGCAAATGCAGGAACAGATGATTAATTTTGCATTTTTAGAGTAATTTTGTTACAGAGGAGGGATGCTGTGATAAGGTGCTATGTTCTGTTTCACTGGAAAAATAAGAATACGAGTTCAGAATCGCGTTAGCTTATCGAGGGGTAATTCAAATTCGGACTTAAATGAAAGATTTTATTGGGTCATTTTTGAAAGCCAAGTAGTAGGAATTGGTATTGAAATTTCTTAAGTAACTACGGATTGATACCGACTGACGTAACTGGGAGGGAGGGTGATAGAAGTCTATCGAGTGCGTTGTGTAATTTTAGATGAATTTTCTCATTAGGCGTAATTCGAGTATAAGCTCCTTGGGCAGCTTTTTTGACACTGATTGATAAAATGGAGAGACTTTTGTGAGCGTTGTTAATGGTCTATGTAAAGAGAAAAAGGTAAAGTTCGGAATTCGAGGTACAATCCCATGATAACTCAAGAACGATAATGGTTATATGAGGGTGTGATTAAAATTGTTTTCTCAAGGTATTTTTTATATATTTACCCCGGATTGCATTCGGTAAATGCAACGGTTGAAATGGTCGCACTGACGAAGTCTGTTTGCTTGGAAATCGTAGGTAATTTCGTTGACCTCCCTGATAACACCCAATGCGACGTGATTCGAGCGGCCTCTTTATCTAGTATCATGAGGCTCCAAATGGTTTTTTTTATCGCTGCCTTTTCATTGATAATTAATTGGAGTGACACTCTTTGTGCCATTTAATAGCTCTACTCTCCTTTTTTCAGGGGGTGAAATTTCACTATGTCGAAGCTGGGAGTAAAGACAGACCGCTGTTGTTACTCCTGCATGGATTTCCTGATTGTTGGTTATCATGGAGAGAACAGATTCCAGCTCTTGCCGAACATTACAGGTATTACCAGCTGTGTGTTCGGCTTTATCTCTATCTTCTCAAAAGTCATGATTACATGTATGATTATTTTTCAGGGTCGTGGCAGTAGACCTCAAAGGCTTTGGCGACAGCGACAAGCCATCGAATAGGTGGTCGTATAAAATAGAGATTCTGGTCGATGAGTTGAAGCAATTTATCTTGTCACTCAATGTGAGAAGCTGCAGTATTATAGGCCACGATTTAGGAGGTCTTTTGGGATGGTACATGGCTGCTTTACATAAAGATATGGTTGACAAATTCGTCGCCATATCTAGTCCGCATCCAAATTTTTATTGGAACAACCTTTCGCGAGGTGCTGCTTTCGATAGGAAGCAAGTAACAGTCTTGAAATTTTACCTCTAAAATTCATGCTTAAGATGAAACGGCACTCAAATTATCTGTTAAAAAAAGTACATCATGACCATACTTTTCCTTTTTTCAGATGGATGCACTTCAGCAGACTCCCATTTCTGCCTGAAATCGATGCTCTGAAGGAAGACCTGTCCATCATCAACAACACCTACAAGCATCTTCGTACCGATCACTCGGACGACGAGAAGAATTACATCGAGGCGTACAAATACACATTCAGCAGAAAAGGTGTGGTTAAATATACAGCGGAATTTTTTCTGCATTGATATCCAATATCTAAACTAAACGGAGATTGTTTTCATTTTATAGAGGACTGGACGGGACCCCTAAATTATTTCCGAAACCTCCCCTATTCGAGGCTGAATACGGACGACTCCAGCGAACAGATCACCGCTCGAACATTACTCCTTGTCGGCAACATGGATCCTTCGATATCTCTGGAGAATATGGTCCAGAGCTCGGAATTCGTGGAGAAGTTCAGCGTGAAAGTAATTTCCGGGGCCCAACATTTCCCTCACCAGGAAAAGCCCGACGTGGTTAATCAGGCCATAATTAAATTCTTGATAGGTTCGTAGGTCTCCTTTGTACGTCTCTAGAGGAGGGTCTGAAAAGTTTTAACCTTTATTGCGTTACATTTTCAGGCACATCCGTATCCTTGGAGAAATCAACCTCGAAGAGCCTCGTGTCCACGTGGTTGGACTCTTTGAGCAATACTGTCAAATATGGCAATCATGTTATCGATGCCGTCCACAAAAAGGCAAACGGCGTCGTTACTGGTCTTCCCAGTAAGGTTCTTTACTTAGGTCAAGCTCATGCGTAGAAACGTCTACGGATAAACTTTAATAGTCTGCGGACTATGCAAGGAAAAAATGATCCAGTGATACTTTGCAATTAACTTTCTCTAGGTCTAACATTTTCTATACGGCGGACTGGATTTAGCGTAGTGTTACGTCGTTAATTTAGTGATTTATCGATGATAACTACGTTACCTGAGTATTTGGCCATTGCGAAGTGTGAATAGATACGACTGTGGAATCGGTCTATTCCATGAATTCCAGCGTTAAATGTTACCGAACCGTTCAGAATATTACTATACGTGGGCATGACGGGTGGTAAATTATTCTTAGAGGCTAAGAGATAATTCGCGAGATATTTTATCATTTTACCACGAGCGTGAGTGCAATAATGATGATTGAGTGAAGTAGATCTTACTTGCGTTTTATTTAAAAAGTACAATGATGGTGAGTCGGGTCGCTATTTAAGGTTGTTTTAAGAGTTCATTTTACTCAGAAGTTATGAATTAGGAATATAGTTTGCGAAAGATCTGCTATTTATCACGACAGAGGTTGAACGTTATACTCTTGTTAAGTATATCTGGTGATTAGTTAGATATACAATATTGGTACGACGGTTTATGGAGACCGCCTTTTCATATTTATTCTACGTGATATTGATATTCATTTAGTTCTGGATTACGATCCTTTTTGTAAATAAATTTATGAAATCTGTTCGATTTCCATGTGTCACCTTATTAAAAAAAATGTTCAGGAAGGCAACAGTTAAGCACTTTATGCATCGATTTATTGAAACGGTACAATTATATGCGATACGTTATTATTATCTGCAAGTCATTATTATAATTGACGTTGCATTTACGTCTCAAAACGTGTTCTGTACAAAATCCGTGTATACTGTTAATTAAAATAGTACATTAAATAAAGATTAAATGCATTATTTAATGAGTGAATACGTAAGATGAACCTAGTGAAAGTGCAAATGAGAAACGTAACGAGACGTGCTTATAGACGGTGCATCTTTTCGCAAAATTCATCCTGAATACTTTCTACATCTTATAATAATCTTATTTCTTAAAAAAAATCGAGATGCCTTCATCATTTTATACGGATTACGTTCCGTACTACAGATAAACTTTTGGAATTCATACATGATTCGTATTACCATGTAAGATAAATTTATAATTGAACCCAGTCCATAAAATTGAGTTGCTGAATGTCATATGGTATTTACATATGTCGATACTTTCTTTTTCGTTAAAAGAAAAATAGCTGCTTCAGTATTATGAAGGTACCACAGCCCGTGCATCTTTTTTTCTGAAATCGTAAATAAATCGTCCGTAATTTAATGTACCGCTATTTAATAAGCAATAATTTAATAGGCACATCAACGGTATCCAACTTACTTTCCGAAATTCTCCGCATCCTCTATTGTCTCTGGCAATTCGCAATTCATTGTTTCTGGCAACAATAAGCAAAGACCTGCGCCAACAAGAGGGCCCACGCCGAATAACAGAGGAGGCAACCATGGTTTAATCGAGCCCTGAATTAAAAATTATTTTCACACATGAGACATGTCCACATTTAAATAGATTACTTTTCTAACGATCGAATCAGCCGTGAAGAAATTAATTTAATGTTTTCTTGGATTACCATCGTCGCTATGTACGGTGCAATCATACTGCCGAATCTTGCACAAACGCTCGCCAGTCCAATTCCAGCATTTCTTACAACTGTTGGAAACACTTCTCCACTGTATAAATATACAGTCGGAAAGCTAATAGCCATTCCCGCAAGGCCCATTGTGGCCAAGCAGACTTGGCCAGTTGGATTGTCGATTACGGTTATCAGCAGTAAGCCTAAACCAGACAAGAGGTTCCCTCCCATCAAAATCTTTAACCGAGACACTCGCGAGATCAGCACAAGGACTATCACGGTCCCGGGTAACTCGCTGGCGGCTGAAAATAAATTTAAGGACATCAAGATGGCGGGTGTTGAGACAAAAATTGATAAAATGACTGATAAACAGGGGTACGAAAACCCACCCGAAGCTGCCACATTGATGAAGATGTTTCCATCCAGCTGGCCCATATATTGCGCTAATCCAAAGAAACAGGTACCACAAAGCATCCAATTGGCACATATACATAAAGTCTTGACTCTCAGATTTGGAGTTTTGAACAAATGCGTCAGGTTGTATGTTTCCTGGGTCTTCTCCGGCTTGTGTTCCACATTGTTCTGATGAGACTCTATGGCCGCCTTGACATTTCCCAGAGGCATTTTATTTCTTTTAGCCGCCCTAGTCAGGATTTGCTCTGCCTCGGCGACTCTTCCGACTGCTAATAACCATCTGGGCGATTCTGGGATAATCCTACATGTAGTAATTAAATAAGGTCAATCGTCAACCCGGATTTTCTAGTCGTTTCCATTCCTACGTAACAGGTGTTAGTTTGTCATTTCGCACTAACCCCTATCATTAATAATGCATGGGTACTGATACTTTCAGGTTCTTTTATAGAAGCCGGTTGTATTGATTCGAAGAAATTGAACCTTCACCACGTATCTCAGAAGGACACCTACATTGATCCTGGGACAATCGAAAACCAGTCCTGCAACTCAACAAAGGATAATGTACTTTGTTTCTAAGTATAACCGTCTTAGACACGATGCCTGTATATTTCTCATTCGTGGAATAACTCTGCTGTTAAGGGAATGTTATTATTTTCAGGAAATGTAATTGACCTTTTCGCTGCTGAATCAATTACAAAAGGAAATTCTGGATTCTATTCCGGTCTCTTTTTTAATTGATCTAGTCCTCCTGCAGTGATAAGTGTTAATGGCTCTGATTCTCCGAATCAACAAAGTAGACTACTACAAAAGAAATTGTGCTACACCATCGATAGATAAAGTGCCATTCAATAGAACGAAGTTATGGATTAATTGGGTCTCTCTTTCGTAATGAGAGACTTAATTGAACGTCGTTATTGCTAACTCATCCTCATTCTAATTGGGCTCACCAGTAATAGGACAATAGGAGTATCGGCGGAATTGATATCACAAGTTGAAAGCCGTACCATGTCCGGGTTAGATAGGAGATTAAGGGATTAATCAAATGGCCAAGTAAGAACGGAACATGGAATAGCACGGACAAAATGGAGCGCCATTCCACGCCGACAATTTCCATGACTGAAACATAAAATAATTTTTATTCGCATTTTTTTTTGCAGATATCGAAAATGAAAGAATAAAATGTTACCCGTAAACAATGAATTCACAACTCACGCAGAACAAAACTGACGAGCATGGTGCCACCAGTAGCTACCGCCGAAATAAATTTCAGCAACAGAAATAATTCATACCAAGGAGCAAATGCACTTAGCAGACCACTAACTGACTGCAAAAGTACAGCAAGTAGTAAAGGTATTTTCCTTCCAATCCTGTGAACATGAACAAATTAGCCATAAACTCAAACTTCATAATTTAAAAGAGGATCCGATTGTATCGTAATTTTTAAAAAATTATATTGTAAAGACCTATCAGCCATCACACTGAAAATCATGTTTCCAACCAGGATTCCAAACATCGTGCACGTCTGGGCAAAATTTCCCAATTGCTCCCAGTCGCAAACCAAGTTCCACTGCAAAAAAAAGTGAATGAAAAAAAATTAGATTACATAAAGATATTAGAGTAATGTAAAACGAAACTGAGAAAACATTTCGCAGGCAACCTGGGTGGTTATCGTTTCCTTGAATATACTCCTGTCATAATCGAATCCGGTGCACTTCTCAAAGGTGTCGTTCCCTGCGTTTACGCTACACTTCATTATCGTGTCATTATCCACCGAAGGTGGGGAGATGCATGTGAAATTAGTCGGTGGTGCCAAAAATACAATGGACAATTGATGCCAAGCGACTGCAAATTTGACCAGGGAGAGAGAGATTGCGATAACGGCATGCCAAGGGCCCATGGAGCCCATGGCCTCCTGAATAGGGTCCAGTTGCACATGATCTGGAATAAAATTACAAATATGAATCATAGTGATTATGGTGGCTCTAAGAAAGAACGCGCTGCCCGTGAAATTCCATTTTTCGAAAAGAAAAAAAAAATATCCTTTTTTAGTTCTCGTCCGAGATAAATGCAACATTTTTTTTCGAAATATGAATTTTCACGAGCAGCGTCTTCTTCCTTATAGCCTCCATAATCACGTGTTAAATTTTCAGATAATTCGGTGCACCCAGTTTGGAGAAAAGTTTTGTAAACATTTTGACTTTTTGGTACGTATATATCACACTTTCATATCACCTTAAGGCGCACGTCAGATAGACAATAAAACCAAAGAAATGATAAAGAGTAACCTTCGTCGGACTATTAACCGTAAAAGAACGTGACGAATGGGTGCGCCTTTGCTCTCTGTCCAACTCATACAAGTAAAGAGAGAAAAAGCCATTCCTCGTCCGGTACTTCCCACGTGCTAGCATCGCCGATCCCGTTCGTTGACCACAGGTCGAACATTTTTTAAATACCGTCATACGGTACTCGCAACTCATCAGAAAGAAAGCGAACATCTTTCATCAAAATTCAAACTAATTAAAATTTCCGAAAATTAAGTAAAAAAATAAATAAAGAAAAGAGCGTGGCCTTTGCTCCTTCCGCATCTGGGTAATTCTTGGACATATCTTTCGGCTTTTAATTCCCAGCACCGGCGTAGCTAATTGCCCCTCGTTAGAGTTGTACGAAAGAATGTCTAAATACCATCTGAGACATGTGCGCGTAGTCACGTGACATCATCTCGAAACGATATTCGATTACGCCGATCTAATCGGTCAATTGGCGTCCGTCTACAATAAGGAAAAATCGACGAATCGGATATCATTGAACTGCATTTCTGGGTCAACTCAAGAGCAATATTGCGTATTAAATGTTACCGAGTTGTCTCGTATTATCAAGTGCCTAATTGCATGAACATATATTAAGTACCCCCTGAAGTGTGCATTCTCCTGTCCGCGAAAATTTCACGTTACATAAATATTAAGCACCTCTGCACGCTCGTTTTTTCTTATTTTTTTCTTTCTTCAGCGAAAGGGAAATTCTCGCGTAATTGAACAGGGACAAGGGAAAAGTGAATGCGCAGATTGCTTCTGCACTTTCACCGACACTCGTACACTTCTGGAATTCTGGATATGCTCGTAAATGATGCACACTGGGGCGGTGGCTGTTAAAAAATATTAATCCATGTAAAATAGGCCATACTTAATAATACTAAAAGTTAGAGGACAATTAAATTTTTCTCATCCCGCGTTAAACTTTTTAAGTCACTGATCAATTGTCACCTACCCAGGTATTCCACTTTTTTTTTCTAGACGCATAACCAGCAGCTCGACTTCATTACCCTCGTAAAGGACATTATCCTTTCGCAAAAAATACCCGTTAATTAAGAGTTTTAGTTCTCTTTCAAGAAAACCCATTCAGACCGTGGGTCTTATTACAAGTTTCATTCGAAAGTTAAGGTGACTTTGGCAGGTTTTGCCGATTCCATTACCGGCGCAGTTTTTAAATTGTCCCCTACAAAGTTACGGATTTTACATCTCCCTCAACGATCAAATATATCCACACCTAACAGTCTAATAAATCATTGCACTTGCAACATATCAAAATAATCATTTTCAAAATGATGCACCATCATAAATAAAAACCGTTCACTCCCAATACACTTCGTTTATATACAATGCTTTTTAAACCCTCTAAAAAAAAAAAAGGAAAAAACAATTTTCCAAATGTAACTACAAATTACGCGTAATAAAAATGTTTATCGTGCTTCGGTGACCGTTGATCGCCGCGACATTAATATGTTAAGTGGCAACGGTGACTCAAAACTAGTTCGTGAAAAAATCGCGTGACGGTAGTGAAAGACTGAAAGCCATGTGAGAAAAAATTAATTCGACGAGTAATCCTTGCAAAACGAGAACCCAAAGGGCGCACGTGGCGTTCGACGCCAGGTTTGGATGATGCAAGTGGAGACGCCAAAGATATATTTAGGTCCCCTAAGAGAGGAAACATAAAAATACCTCCGAAATCAGAGACTTACCCTTCCCCGTCATCGCGCCGTTAGTGCGTTGTAACGCAGCGTAAAATGCGCAACTCGGATGTCCCCTTCTGTCTTATACGCGAACCGCGCACCTCATCTCCGATACTCGAAGAACCGAGGTGAACTGAGCCTAACAGAAGGAAGGACTAAAATTGCCACCACCTCGTCCACGAGGCAGAGGGGATGACTCCGAGATGATCGCGTATACTTTGGCGCCCATTCGAATCCCCTGATGTATCATCGGCACGCAATCACGGTCCCCGAATACGGCCCCAGGCATTCTCGCTGATAACAGGGTTTAATAGAATTAAGAGCGCCGAAGAGGTCGATAAGAGACTCCCACCTGTCCTGTCAAAATGGCTGCAATTAATCCCTGTATATTATTCTTTAATCGTGGATGCTTGCGTTAAAGCTGTTCTTGACTTGACGTTCCACTGTCATCTGTATCAGGAATTCGCTGGAATCAAAATAAACTAAAAAACGCGGGTATTTTATGTTATTTTTCCCCTTTACCGTTCAAATGCCAACAAATACCATCGTGTAAGGGGACTCATTTATGACTTGTCCAGTTATTTTCATGTCCCTTGCAACGGTAATTCGGAAGATTCTTCAATTATTAATAAGCTGTTTTCTATTTTATAATTCCTTGAAAATTATATTTTAACCGATGCAGTAGGAGGAGAGAACTAGTTAAAGGAATGGTAAGGTCGACGTAGCTGGTGAACCGATACGAACCCGCAATGATGCGGTATAAAATACGATATTGCAATTCGATCAATCCAGATGTGTTTTCTTCATTGCATCGGTTTTATTTAGCATTACGTGTCGACCGCAGTCGGTCGCGTTGAAGATCATGTGTAAGGGAACCTTTCACCGAGCGAAGTTTCCCGTAAAATCCGTATCACCGTGTATGATATATTTGCATACATATATATAGTCATCGAAACGCTCGTGCCTCCATCTAGTGTACAACGGAAGAACTGCATCGCTTAAGAAAGAAAAATTGCATTAAACCGTATATTCCCAAAGAGACTGTAGATGACGTCACGACCAGAGATGAGTATGAACGTGTCACTGAGGTTTTGCGACCCATGTTACGAATGTGACCAATTATGTGCAATACCCTAAGGATAGCACCGATTCGCGAACTAGCTGTGGACTGAATGCGGCCCATTGTTCTCCCTAGGTTTTTTATGCGGAATGTGTGAGGATACCGGAAACGCATAGAATTTCGTCGAAGCACCATATTTGGATCATTTGCGTGTCGTGACCAATATTCGCAATACAATGTCTCGAATCTACCGCGTAGTAAGGAGCTTAGATGATGCGCTTATAGATGGCAGCATGTTTCCCGAGAGCGAGTGGCCCGTTACAACTTACTCAACCTCGGTCACGATGCGTCTATGGAAGTAAAGAATGTACACACCCAAGGCATCGCCGAACGCACCCCAGCAGTCGACGCTTGGTAATACAGGGTAGCCAATATTCCAGCGGAAGAAGTCCCGTTATCCGCATCTCGCATCGGTTAATCGCGCGACGTTGGCGCCACCGTCGTCCACCAATCAAATGTCAGCATTCCCCACGCTTTATCCACGGGTACTCGGACCGCGCGGAGCGGAGCTCAGTCCAGCTTGTGAATTCGCCTTAAACGAAGTAAATGACACCGATATGGAGTTACGCGTTATTTCGAGAGGATTCATTTGCGACACCCATGGCTAGCCGAGTAAGATGTCCGACGCAGTCTTGCCACCTCTGGAAGGACCGTCCCGCGATTGAGGTGCTGGGCTGCCAGGATCTTCCGGTGCCGTCTCGCGAGCCGTGAAAAGAAGGATACGCGCATCCCAGAGTGTGCCTCCCCGCGTCCCGCGCGTCGCCCGTGTGGGCTGGCAGAGAGAGAAGGAGAGAGCGCGCGCATGCGCGCGCAGACGGTTCCCGCATAGGCGCGCTCGCGAGGTCAGCCCTCTCTGAGCGCGTGTGTGTGCGCGACCCGAGTGGCCGCGCATGTTCCTGTGTGTGTGTACGCGCGACTCGCCAGAGTGCGGAGCGCTCGGCTCGGCTCGGCTCGTTCTCGCGGTGGGACAGTTCTCTGGATAACGGACCACAGGAGCAGCCGCGCAACGGGCCAGCGTTTTCTAGAAGCGGCGGATCCGAGCCGTCGCGCTCGACCTCTCGCGAGGAGTCCCTCCTCGGTGTGTTCCACGGCCAAAATGGCGGCAATCAGCGGTGCGAGTGGCGCCGAGCGGTAGACGAGGATCACGCACCGCGCGTGCCGGACACGTTCGCGTTTGTTTTGATCGCGCCCTGGGCCCTGCACGGACTACCCGAGGCTCAGTGGACCCGCCACGAGGTGCCGTCGTCTCCGAGGCCGTTCCTCGAGCTGACCCGCGTCGCTCGCCGCAGCCGGCCAAGGCTCCCCGAGGACGACCGAGGGTGCCCGACGGGTCGTCCCTAAACCGCCCCTGAACCGCTCGTCGGTCGGCCGCGATGCCTCAGCCAACCTGCGCCTCGCTGACCTAGGCGACACTCGGCGCCCTGCGAGCGCACCTTGCCGAGCAGCGACCTAGTCGTCGTATCGCTCCAAACGTTGGTAAGCGTTTTCTCGTTTAGTCATCTCGTGCGCCTCGTTCTCGTTCCTTCCGTTTATTCCACTTATTCGATTTGTTCTATTTATCGGCCGGTCGAACGGTCGGATACGGCTAGCGCGGACGATAGAATTTGCCAGCGAGTGTCGAGGCCATGCCCTGGTGAGTGTGCCAACGCGAGGCGATCTCTTCGGATCCCTCGGAAACGAGGATCGGCTTCGGTCGGCCCTCTAACGTCATTGTCAATTTTCTCAACGTGGTTCCCCTTCCGCGTTCCGCCGACCGTTTGCGCCCGTTCGAACGAGAATAGGCACTGCTCTTTGTCGGATCTCGAACGCTCTCGAGAACGATAGGTTAGGAGGGTATTGTTCATGACTGTGCAATTTGTACGTTTGAACTGGCACGCGATTTTTCTAAGCGAATCCTGTCTGATTAGCGCGATCAATTTCAACGCGAGAACGGTACTTGGATGATGGTGAGTGACTAATTGGAGAGGAGACTGGAAATTGTGGGATTTGTTGTCCTATGATGCTAGCGAGCTCCTCTTGAAGCTCGTCGAAGGGAAAGTGCTAATAGGTGTAACGGCGGGATTATGAACAATTGCTGAAATGTTTTGGCTAGTATTAATGATGACGAGAGGAGCTGGAATTGAACATGGAATCGTGTGTGTAAACGGTTGCTCTTGTCTTTGTTTTTTTTTATGGGAGCAATCACTGGGAGGACATTGGATACATTGCCGGAAATAGAAACATTGACGATGAAGTTTTGAAGGAGACGTATTGGTCATTAACGTTTGAAAAGTAAACGGTTATTTCTTTTACTCCAAATTTCAGATTTATTGTGCCTGAGGGGGGGGGGGGGGATATAATTTTTGTTTCCATTTTTAATGATTCTAAGATGATTCGTTGTATGACTAAACCTTATAATTATTGTAATCTCTATATGTTCTTACATCAGCTTAGTACTATTTTCTTTATTACAGTTTTACATCTCCAACACATTAATTTGTTACGATGAAGATCGACCGATCAAGTAAATTAAAAAAGTGTACATCCGAAGTGGTAAGTTTGAACTTCTTTGTCGTGCGGTTAGAAATGTTTTGCATGAAATAATTTTTTATTTCCGAGGGGCCTAGGCTTTAATTTATTATTAAATGATGTAAATCTGTCTTTAGCCTGCAGAATGTCAGGCGCTTATCAGCAAACTGCGCTCCTGCTCTCATGCGGAGTTGCTAGAAGAGCTGAAACAAATAGATGCATGGACCTTTGGGAAGTGCGAACTGTTTCACTGGATCGATGTCCTCGATCTCAGCGACAGTATTTTGGAAGAAGCTGCCACGAGAAGCCCGCACAATCCATGGGAACTGGCATGCGATCTTCCACAAAACAGAGACGTATGTATAATATTCTGAACAACCTTTCAACAAAGACTTTTCAAAGTTTAATTTTAATACATTTTTATGCAGGCAAAAGAGCTGTTGCTCTGGGTCCTTCACTTCACGACGCTATTGATTGAGCATTCGTTTTCCCGACACTTGTACAACAGCATGGAACATCTGATTACTTTACTGTCAAGTTGTGACATGCACGTTGTTCTTGGCGTTTTAAGTCTTTTGTACATGTTCAGTAAGCGTAGTAATTTCATCACACGTTTGAACAGTGATAAGCGGCAAGCTTTGCTCAGCCGATTGACTCACTTAGCAGAGGTTAGTAAAGTTGTACTTAGAAAATTTTAACATTAATATCTGTCAATAAGTATACAGTTCGATCAAGTTCATTTTGTATAATTAATATTATCATTTGAAGAGCTGGGGTGGCAAGGAAAATGGCTTTGGCCTAGCAGACTGTTGTAAAGAAAATCCAGATAAGGTAGGAAAGGGATAAGTGGAATCTACTTAATATATGTGCATAATTTAACCATCGTGACTAATACTAATTTATTTTATTAGCCATTTCCTGCCAGTGCCACAACACTGCACTTTGAGTTCTATGTTGAAAATGTAACGACAGAAGCGTCAAACAATGCTGCTGGAACTTCTAGCACAAGAAAGACGGGTCAGACGAACCTTGTAACTTATATACACATCGAAGGAGTGGATAAGCTTAATAAAACCCCTGCTGAGATTATGAATGACTTACTGAAAGTATATAATGTACCCGAGGATCGACAAGTACGTTAAATATTTCGTTACATTTTTTTGTGCTTATTTGGATGAATTTATGTCTAAAGCTTAATGTTAACATCGCTTTTTTTCAGATGGCCCTTCTGACTCACATAAGACTAGCACACAGTTTCTCCGACTACCGTAGACGACTTCAATGCGTGCAAGCTCGTCTTCAAGCACTTTCCATACTTGTATACAGTAATGCGTTGCAAGAAAATGCGCATAATCTTTTGCACGCCGGCATCCTCGAAGAACTGGTAGAACTATTAGAACTTCCACATCCGCACCTCGTTGAGATTCGCGCTGCTGCGCTACGTACCCTCACGAGTATTATTCACCTCGATCGGAATCCACACCTCCCAAAGTAAGTACTGAGAATTGGCCCTACCGATAAGCAACCGATTCGACAGTTCTAAATCATGTGATGTTTGTTTTCAGAAAACCTGGTTCTCGGTTGAACATGATTATTGACGTCACCGGGGCGAGTTCGTACCATGGGTTCCTTCCCGTTCTCGTACGAACTTGTATAACAACTTTAACCTCACCTCAACCGGATGGGCAACCATTCCCGCTACCCCTTGCAACGGCACTCTTCAGTTTTTTATATCACCTAGGCAGCTACGAAGCAGGAGGCGAAGCTCTAGTTAGCTGTGGGATGATGGAAAGTCTTTTGAAAGTGATCAACTGGCCTGGAAGCGAGTTGGAACACATCACGGTACACATTTTGACTTTTGATCGCGGAGGCACATTCACTTTGAGGTGGCAATTTCAATTAATCAATCCTTTCTCTTTTACAGTTTGTCACACGAGCTGTAAGAGTCATAGATTTAATAACGAATATAGATATGCAAGGATTTCAAGCACACGGAGGCTTGAATAGTTTCATAAATAGGCTGGACATGGAAGTGAACGTCTGCAAAAAGGAGCAACCTTACGAGATAGAGCCTAGACAGCTCGCACAACAGGACGTTCCGTTGCCTGGGCGATACAACAAACCCTCGGATGTCGACGACGATTCAGGTTCATCGAAACGCTCTAACGAAGCCTTTGATGAACGAGAAGAGTCCTCGAATCCCATGGAGCTCTCTGAAGACGAGAATATGAGCTCGAAGGCGGACCAACTGCCTGAGTATTCCGCAGCGAAAACGGGAAAGACTTGCTTGCCCCAGCGAGCTGCGTTGCTGAAATCTATGCTGAATTTCTTAAAGAAGGCTATACAGGATCCGACATTTGCGGATACTATACGACACGTCATGGAGGGCACGCTGCCGTCTTCTTTGAAGCATATCATCAGCAACACGAAGTACTACGGGCCGTCTCTCTTCCTTCTCGCTACCGACGTCGTCACGGTCTACGTTTTCCAAGAGCCCTCCTTACTGTCATCGCTTCAGGATAATGGGCTAACCGATGTCGTGTTACATGCTCTGCTCATTAAAGATGTAAGGATCGGTGGACGTTCTAATACGGTGAACTCCGTCCTCGTTATACAATATTTTACAATGTACGATTCTTTACTTTCTTCAGATTCCTGCCACTAGAGAAGTAATAGGATCCTTGCCCAATGTGTTCAGTGCGCTGTGTCTAAACCAACGTGGTTTGGAATCTTTTTCTAAGTGCCGTCCTTTCGCGCGCCTCTTCAAGGTCCTCCTGTCACCTGCCTATCTGTCAGCTATGCGTAGGCGCCGTAGTGCCGACCCGGCCGGTGACACAGCCTCGAATCTAGGAAATTCTATGGACGAGTTGATGAGGCACCAACCTAGCCTGAAAGTCGACGCGATCGTAGCTCTTGTAAAGGTAACGCATACATTTCCAGTGACTGAAATCTCGTCTTATGCGAATTCTTATTTTTTCATACATGGCGGTGTTTTTTCCACAGCTCCTAGAAGAGCTCTGTGTACTGGGCTGCGATCCTCGATACGTGTGCTGGAGAGCCGCCAATAAATCCGAGAATTCACCTTCGAGTTCGAGTTCTAGCAGTCGCCAATCCTCCGGCCAATCCGTGGGTGTAGGTGTCGGAGATACCGGAGGCGGAGGAGGTGGCGGGGGCGGAAGTAGCAGCGACGAGGAGGAAGAGGACGAAGAGGAAACCAGCACAAGCTCCCACCCTCAGCGCGAGGAACAACCTTCTCCTTCCCCGGCCCAACCAGGTCCTCCACCGCAACCTAGGGAGAAAACGCCGATTGCATTGATCGACTACATTCATAACGTCATGAAATTCGTGGACGCGATATTAAGCAACAACTCGACGGACGACCATTGCAGAGAATTTGTCGCACAGAAGGGACTGGTACCTCTGCTGTCGATCTTGGGATTGCCGAACTTGCCGGTTGATTACCCTGTCGCCCAGGCTGCGCAAGCGGTCGCCTCGGTGTGCAAGAGCATCCTGGTAATTTAATGTTCTGAGAGTTTCCGAAACGCTGATGCATTGTGGAGGTTTAATTGTTAATTTATCGTTTTCCTTTTCTTTTTTCTTTTTAATCTTACAGAATCTCGCTCACGAACCTTTAGTCTTGAAGACCGGATTGTCCCAGCTGAACGAAGTTCTCAATTTGCTGAAGCCGCTTCACAGTCACGTAGACTCTCCAGGTGGCTCGGTTTTGTTACACGAGCTTGCTTCTGCACCGAACCTTGAAACCGCTTTCACCAGCGATACGGCAACTCCTTTGTTGCACGCCATGAACGCTGCACACGGTTACGTGGTAATGTTTGTCCACGTTTGCCGTACCAGCCAGAGCGAGATTCGAAATCTCTCCATGAACCACTGGGGATCCGAATTGGGTCTCACGGTTCTAAAAGGCTTGTCCGAATTGTACATGTCTCTTGTTTGGGAAAGCACGCTTTTATTAGCCCTCTGCAGCGATGACATCATACCTGCTGGCTGCGACTTTGGTAAAGAAGATATGGACAAGTTGGTGCCTCCAGAGCTGCGGGTAAGGAGATTGTTTGAGTTACGGATGACTGTCGGGGTTCTTAGGGTCGGGGTTCATTCATTGTTTGACCTCTTAACTTTTCTTTCAGACTGATGGAGAGTCCTCTTCCTGGTCCGGTGCTACTTCCTCGGACATGGGCAGCAACGGCATGACGACAGCTATGGAAGCGCTCAGCACCGATCCTCCTCCTGTATCAATGGAGGTATTAATCTTGATCGAGCTAATAAACCTGAAATTATAATTATGGAAGAAATATTGTTTAATTTCACGAAGTCATCCTTACAGGTGGACGACAAACCGAGTACGAGTACTGGAAGGATATCCCCCAGTGCGCACCAACTGAAGTATATCAAACCTCTTCTTGGGGCCTCATCCAGACTCGGGAGGGCATTGGCGGAGTTGTTTGGTCTACTTGTTAAGGTAATTTTATCAAACTTATCTTCAGAAATAATTTATTAATACAGAAATTTCTGGTATGCTCAATTAATGTTAATATGATTTCTATGTAGCTATGTATGGGATCTCCCATAAGGCAGAGACGCGGGCACCAACTTCATGCTCCACCAACTCTTCCGTCACAAGCTGCTCGTAGTGTGGCAACTGCGCTTAATTGTTTGTTAACGCGTGGCTTATCCTGGGATAAACTTCCACCATCACCAATTCCTAAATTCAAGCTCACATTTTTAATCTGCTCCGTGGGCTTCACCTCGCCCATGCTCTTCGATGAAAAACGACATCCGTATCATTTAATGCTGGAGAAATTCGTTAAGCTAGGAGGTCAAAATGCATTCTTTGCGTAAGTTTTTGCACTCTGGGGAATAACAGTTTCTGTTAATTCTAAATTCTTTCGGTATATTTAATTGAAAATGTAATTACATTTAACAGGACGTTCCGATGGGCATTGTCCGGAGGGGGTCAATTTCCTCTATCGGAGGGGTTAGAGCATCCAAATTTGCCTGATGGAACGGGTGAATTTTTGGACGCTTGGTTGATGCTCCTTGAAAAAATGGTAAATCCCAAAGCTATCTTAGACTCACCGCACGTGGTGCCTTCCAAGTGTATTGGCATATGCAAAGTGTATGAAATCTTCGACCCCATAAAATATCTCACCGATATACATAAGGTATGTACAGATTTATTATTTTTAAATATGTCTAATCAACGACAGTAAGAAACAAGTCACGGTAACCGAATTTAATTTTATAGAAAGCGTTCGAGGCTGTGATGCTCATGTGGGGAAAGAAACCGCTGAAGAACTACGGTGCACGCATGACGGAGTCCATTCTCTCGATTTTACGACACATCCTGCGTGGCGAAAAGATCATTAAAGTTCGTAATTCCGAAATGTCTATTAAGCTGAATTTATCTAAAAAAGAAAAATTTAATTATTTAATTTGCTTTCAACCCTCAGGAACGTTTGGAGAAAGAGGAGAGTACAGAAACAGCAGCTGGAGGAAGTGGAACCACTGCGGTAGCTCGAAGCGGAACGAGCACGGAACGTAGAGAAGATCTGGAAGTTGACGTGAATCCCGAACATCTTCGACAGCTGATGGACATGGGCTTCAGTAGGGCGCATTGCGTAGAAGCTTTAATGCACACACTCACGGTTGAACAAGCTACCGATTACCTGCTTAATAATCCAGCTACGTCACGTCGCTCGGTAAGGATTATCCTAGGTGTCTCGAAAATTCCTAATTTTATTTTACAATTACGGTTTATTTGACGATCTTTCATTTTGTAGGACGCACCTGCAGTTGACATCAGTGTTCAGGGTCTGTTGATGGACCTAGAATGGGGTGACGATGACCAAATAATGCATGCCATCGTGATGTCACTCGGTGACACCGAGGCGCGTAAATTTGCTGGTCCGGAGGAACCTACGAGGGAAATTACCACTACTAAAAGCATAGACGAATTCACGTACAGCGCTTTTAAGCAGTGCCTAAATCTCTTGGATCTCATGCCAGATACGGTGTATCGGATTTGTGATCTGCTCGTCACTATTACCAAGAGGAATGGCGACGAGTGGCGTGACACCATGCTGCGGCTATTGATACGAGAGATCGGAAGTTTAGTGGACTATCTGATCGGCATAGCCAAAAGCGAGGATGAAAATGCCGGCGTCCGATTGGTGGAATGCGAAGAAGCCAGCAAAGTCGCTGGACGCATCTACCTCTACACGCTATTTTTCGAGGGGACGTTCCAGGAGATGCGAGTACCTTGTGCCCAGATCGTCGAAGAGTACGCGATTTTGGACAAGCTCGTACGCTTGCTGGTCGTCAGCGAAGGACCCCTCACGGAAAACAAAAACAAAACAGCCAAGGACGTCAAGGAGAACCCTACAGCCACCAAAACTCCAAAATGGTTGGCCCCGCTCTTGTTACTCATCGACCGCCTGGAGAAGGTGGCAGTACTTACGCAAAGAAAACAATTAATGCACAAAGCTACGAATCGAGTGTGGAAATGGTTCGACTTGAGTACCGGTAAATGGACCCCTTACTCTGTGCCCAACAATCGACTCATCAATGATGCTTACTGGGCAGGAGAGCCGAGTGTTCGGATAATGTGCAGCAGAAGACGGTACTCGGTCACTTTCTCCTGTATGACTCAAGTCAACGAGGACAGCGACAACAGAAGGCCCATCACCATGGGATTTAAGTCCAGTTCCAATGGCAGCGAGGACGGAGGTTCTGGGTCCGATTCCAACATGGACACCGAAGACAGTCCCACGGAAGATAAGCGAAATACTGTGATACAGGGATTGGATCCCAGTATAGCTCCCAGTATTATCAGGGCGTGCGTCAAGCTTCTGGCTATTCCTGTTGATCGGGACGCCTTGCACGCACTTATGAAGGTATGCTTAAGGTTGACCCGTGATTACAAGAACGCCGAAGTTTTCGCAAGGGAAGGCGGCGTTCGGTTATTACTGGACATGACTCAAGCGAGCAGCTTCATCGGTTTCATCAGTCTGAGTACCTTGCTAATTCGGCACACCCTCGAGGAGCCTCGCACCCTTCGGCTTGCCATGGAAAAAGTCGTTCGAACGCGGACGCAGAGTAATATCCCTCCGGCGTATAAAGAAATCCTCTTTATGACGAGACAAATAAGCAGCGCCGTCTGCCGGAACCCAGAGGTCTACAGGGAAGTATGCGAAAACATTCTCCGAGTAGACATCGGTGTACTGAAACGCGACGATGTAGATAACCGACTAGTCGTGAAGGCTCTGCCACCGAATCACTCCTCGGCACTTCCGATGCTGGAGGAGGTATCGATCGGCGTGGTTCACGATCTGCTGAACGCGCTGATAAAACCGATGCCCGTGATACCGGAGGGAAGCTCGACGACACCAACGGGCAGTCCCGAGAAGAAAACCACGCATCCTACCATCCCAGCAAACAACGTTTCCATGTCCTCGACCCCGAGGGGACGCGAGGTTATCAGAAGCAATGCCACCACGTCCAACGAGCAACTAGACGACGATGATCAAGTCTCCCAGATTATACCACTCAAGATGTACACCGACGTTGGCAACAAGGTGGAGCCTGAAGAGGCGAAGAAACCCCTTTTGCCGAAGTCAGCTATTCTGAAGATGCTGGCAGAGGCGGTGCGCTCTTACGGTGCCGTTGCCAATTTAATTACGGAGTGCACTTATCGCGCTGGCCAGAGCGAAATGATCACCGAGGACACCACGGCCTTGACTTTCCTTTTGGACAGACTTCTGCCGATTTTGCCGGAGAACGCGAGCGACCGACAGTGTAGCAGCATGGCTAGGATGTTGATCGCAGCTATAGCCTCCTGTAATCATTCTCCAGACGCCCAGGCTACCTTGGTGACCGAGGTCAAGGCTGCTCTCACGAGGACGCTAGCTCTTCCAGAATCCGCCGAAAAGCACGCCCAGCTGCAGCTGCTCATTGGGCTGATCTCCACGATGATAGACAGCTGCCCGCCGACCTCACACACTCAGATCAGGGCCTCGGTGAAGGTGCACCAGTTCAACAACGTCAACTACATAGTCAGGATAATGCTGAGGAAGGGCATCATCACCGACTTGGCCAAGATCCCGCACAGCCTCGACCTATCCAGTCCACACATGGTCGGGACGGTCAATGCGGCTTTAAAGCCCTTGGAAACTCTCTCTAGGATCATCAACCAACCGATGCCGGGTGCGGTGAACAATAAATTCGCCAAGCCGAAGAGCAGGACCGTTCAAGAGGAGCCAATTGGGGAACAGACCGGGACGACCACTTCGGAGGCGACTCATGCGGTTGGAGAAGAGACCAACGAGGATGCCGAGAACACGGAACACGACATCTCGGTGAACGCCGAAAGTCTGGAGCCGAACTCCGAGAGTCACGTCCACGAAGAGGGCGACGAGGCTGCTCTCGATGACATCATGGATCAGCTTCTTGAGAGGTAACGATGAACTGATCGACGCATACTAGAGTTGATCGCTTTCGATTCATTGCGAGCAATGATTTCGGTGGTTCTATGCTCAGTGTCTATAATCAAGCAGTGCACTCTTTTCTAGGGACCGCTCGACCGTGGCAGAGGAACAGTCTTCTCGTCCACACAGGCCAATGGACATTGACGACGAGAGCCTTGCTTTGCGCGATGCGGAGGGAGATTTTGACCCAGCTCGGGACACCACAGTAAGAGTAACATCGCCTTTCTCCTTATGCTCTCTCCTGGATGTTCCTTCGAGCAGGACACTAAAGACAATGGTTACTCGTTGCAGGAGGACTTGATGAGCTCGGAGTCGGATTCCGACAGCAACCCGTCCGATGACAACGAGGACGAAGTGCAGGATGACGAGGATGAAGAGGAAGAGGAAGAAGACGACGGTGAGGAAATTACGATTGCCTGTTATCATTGATTGTGCAATGCGAGGGGCGCGATGATTTTATGCTGGATATTTTATTCGTAGGGGAGGAAAATGAGGAGGAGGAAGAGGAAGAGGAAGGCTCCTCAAATTACGAGGAAGATGGAATAGACCTCTATGAAGATGTAGAGGAAGGTGTCTATAGAATGCTTCCTTCCAACGACCGTGAAGGTGGTAATGTCGTCATGATACATCACAACCTTGACAACCAGGATAATGCAGCTTCCACTCCTGCATCCACTGGGCCTATTGTTCCTTGGATCACCAGTTTTCCTCTGCCTCTCAGTCTTATCGAAGACTCGACCGCGGTCTCTGAAAATAATGGTTGGTTGACACCAACCACGATTATTTAGGCTCGTCGAGTATCAGAGAAGGGAACTTAATTTCATTATTTACTTACAGCTATAAGCATGCACCCGTTGCTAATGACGAGGAACAACATAGACGCTAGCTCTTTGTCCTTCTCTAGAGGCCAGCGTGCTCTTCGACAACGCAGATACCAGTACCTCCAACTGTCCAATTCACGTAATCCAAATCCGCCGATTATTTTACAAAGGTTAGTGGACGGTACCTAGATAGGTTTATGCCATTACGATCATAATCGACCGGCTAATATTATTAATTTTCTATTTCAGACTTCTAGGCCCAGCTGCACAAACGCTGCCTTTATCTGCGAGCCAGGTTCTTGCTTCCAGTTTTAGGGACACTCGTGTGTTTCTAATGGACAATGGTCATGGAATTTTTACGAACCAGGAAGAGGAACAGATTGATTTTGTCGTGAGTTAACGGTCTTATAATTCTCGACGATGAGTAGCGGGTTTTTAGACTATGCATTTTTTTTTTCCTTCTCAGGATCAGTCTGGATACTTGTTCGGGCCCAGCCTTGCAGCTACCTTGAACAACATCCCAACTGCTCTGCACTGGTGGATCGAGGAAAGTAAATTACTGGATGGAGATTCACAGCCAGACTGCTGCGTCAGTGAGTACACCAGTTTACCACCTTGATGCTTCTTTACTTTTATCCTCAAACCCTAATCGATAACGTTTCCTTTCAAAGGTGTGGTTCATAAGCTGATACCAGGACTCGAGAAGCACAGAAACGCGGAACTTGCCGAAAGGAAAGAGAAACGTAAGAAGCAACATGGGACCGAGAAAGAATCCGATAAGGACACGAAGGAGACGAAAGAGCATACCAACGGTACAGAGGGTAAGTTGGGATTATATCACGCTTTGAAGAGTAACGGGGAAAATGTTTACGAGGTTCATTTTTTAAATTGCTCGTTGCAGCGGTGACTCCCGCCGTGGTCCCCGTTGAAGAGCAAAGACTCCCGGTATCCACTTCGGAAAGGATATTGGCGGCATTATTCCCTTCCACGGAAGCTAGGGTAGAAACGGTGAGAAACAGAATAGAACCAACTACAGACGAGGATATAATAGGTAAGGATTGTTAATATTTAATTTATTGTTAGCGTGGATGGAATGTCAAGTGCACGACGACGCATTTTTAGAATTAACATTCCTAACTTTATTCTCATTTTTTTTTTTTGCAGATGTAACTGGAGAAATGGAAGTTACGGTACAGGACTTTGAGGAACGTCCTCCACCGCCACCACCAGAGGATCAACATAACGAAGCGAGAGATCTTCGTCGAATGACTCGTTGTGCGATTCCAGAACTCGCAGAGAGCATCGTAGATTCCGTCCTTGGGCCTAATGAATCGATCCTTGCCGGGAATAACAGTAAGTCCTTCAATATGTTCTTTTTCAAAGCTAGTGTTATTCTGTGCCTTTATATACCTGAATGTATGCATATTGTTTTTATTGCAGGACGATCTACTCTATCTATTATACGCTCAGACGGGGTACGCCATATCTCCCCAGAAGAGGATTCAGATTTATCAAGGATTGCGGAAAATCGAGCGAATCCAGCGGATTGGCTAAGACGACTGATTTCTGAGGAGATTCGGGTCGACGCGGAACGAAAGTAAGGAAAATTTCCGCTACGTAGTATTTTCTGTAGTGCATCATACGATATTGCAGAAGTATCTAAAACCACTAATTATTCCTTTAGTTCCAGTTTCTTGCATCGAGACCCAAGCTCTTCGTCATCAGAGAGTAACAACCAAGAACCTTTGGAACAACCACAGCAGCCTCAACAGCAACAGCAGCCGCCGGTGCAGCAGCAACAACAACCAGAGCCACAGCAACAGCAACAACCGCCACAACCACCACCGCTGCCTGAACAACCGCAGCAATCTCAGGAACAACAATTGCCAGATGGAGTTGATCCTTCTTTCCTGGCAGCATTGCCAGAAGAAATGCGCGATGAGGTGATCGCTGAGCAGCTGAGGTTTGTTCATAACCATATTAGATATTTCCGTAGTAATGCTGTTTATTTATGATAATGCTATACGATTGCCTGAAGGCCTAGTATCGTTGAATTTATTAATGCATATTATGCTTACGCAGGCTCCAAAGGATCAGGCAGAGAGCACAGGCAACGGTGGTAGAAGAACCTACAGGACCGGTGGAGGTGAACCCTGAATTTTTGGCGGCTCTACCTCCATCCATTCAAGAAGAAGTTCTCGCTCAACAACGGCTGGAACAGCAAAGACATGCAGCTGCTTCGGCAAACCCTGAAGATCCCGTAGATGCGGCGGCGTTCTTCCAAAACCTTCAACCTTCGCTTCGACAAGCGGTATGTATACCATTAGCTTCCTTGTGCTCTCTGATCTTGCAGAGTTCCATGACTAACATCAATTCTTTGATCAACAGATATTGACCGATATGGAGGAGTCACAGATATCCGTCTTACCTCCTGACTTGGCTCAGGAAGCTCAGCTGTTGAGAAGAGAATGGGAGGCTCGAAATCGGCACATGATACAGGAAAGGTTCCTTAGTCATGTCAGTCAGAGCAATACCGCCTTGTCGAGCATACTGAGAAATTCTGGAAGAGGTAAATAGCATTCTCCGCAGCAGTCAATTAGAGTTTATTGTATGGCTATTATATGGAAGTTCAACGTGACGAATCTAACATGTAACGAATTTTTCCTAATTCATTAAAGGATCGCGAACTTCTTCGGGACGAGCCCCTTGTACTCGTTACGCCATTCAAACGGTTCCTCAGAGAGGTCAGTGGAACTCGTGGAATACCCGAAGTGAAAACGGCATAGCTCATCAGGGTGCCGGTCTGAGACTGAGGGGAAGGCAATTGCTCGATCACGAGTCGATGGCTTGTCTGTTGGTTCTACTCTTTGTCGACGAGCCGAAGATTAATACAGTAAGGCTTCACCGAGTCATTAGAAATCTTTGCTACCATGGCAGCACCAGGGAATGGGTGGTCAAAGCTCTGTTGAACATCATGGAGAGGAGTAACGACGAAAACAAGGAGATCGTCATGGATTATACAGGAAAGTTTAAGAAGAAAGGGTCGCACTCTGCCATTGACTACTGGTAAGTGTTGGGCGATTTTTTTTTTTTTTTTGGTTCGATTCACAAAATGAGGGAATTTGTTTTAACTAGAAAAAACTTTTTCCAGTTCACCGAAAGTATTCGAAACCCGAAACAACCTGCAGTCGTGGCTGAATATCAGCATAGACGCCGCCTTAGGTTGCAGAGCGAACGTATTTCACATCCTGCGATACGGTGGCAAGAAATCGGAAAGACAAGGTCCAGTCATTGCCATCCATCCCCAAGCTGCTCCGGCAGTCTGCAGGTTAGTAGACGAAAACCCTTCAAAACGTTTTAGGATACTTTTACAAAGCATCGGGATTCATTATCTCCTTTATCGTTGCATAGGCATACCCTGGAACTATTGATATCCTTAGCGAAGAGTTTCCCCGGATACTTCGTACCTGTAAAGTCGAAGGACGTCGAGGACAGAGAAAAGGATAAAGACACGAGTTCCGGCAAGGAAGAAGCCGGGGCGAAGTCGAAGTCTGCCTCGAAGACGGGGAAGAGCGACGTGCCCGACTTCTGGGACATGTTGCTGAGGCTTGACTCCTGTGCCTCGAAGAAAGGGAAATTCGTAGCAAGGACACATTCTAGCTCAAATTTGGGCAGCGAACCTGAACAGAGCGTCACGTCTTTCGAGGCATCGGCCTTTGGTCAGCTCATTTCCATGTTGAACTGGTCCGTGATCAAACGGAGCAGCCAGCTAACCGACAAGCTCTTGAGACTACTCTCTCTCGTCTCAATTGGCTTGACCGAGGTGAATCCTTACCGTCGACAAGAGGGCAACAAGTCCAAAAAGATCGAGTCGACCAAGGAGCAGAGCGTCACTGCTCCGGAAGGTCATCTTAGGCTCGCCGTGCAAGTACTTACCAGCAAAAGCTGTTCCGAGGAGGGCCTCGAGGATGCGACTGCACTCCTTCTCAATCTCTCCCATTGTCCTGACTCTACGAGGCAATTGGTAAGACATGTGCAATACTGGATATACTTCTACCTATCGTTACATATTTCCCAAGCCTTAATTCTATAATTCTCTTTAGATATTAAAGATTCTTCTCGAGGGAGCGATGGAACTGGCGAATATGGTTTGCGAACACATAAAGGATTTGATGATGGAACTAAAGGTACTGAATCGTGAGCTCAACCGAAGGAACTCCATCGAAGAGCAACCTTCCACAAGCTCAGGTGGATCTGGACGTGGAATTCTTTTGGACAGGTAATGTTTCTTGCCGTCTGGGGAAAGGAGAGTTTTTCACGTGCAGAATGTTTTATGAATTATTACTTGATGCTCCTATTCTTTAGGTTTACTAATGAAAGCGTTGTTGTAACGGCTCCGAGCAAGGTTAAGGCTGGAAGCGATTTGCAACTCCCCTCCATGGGCGCGTTGGTAATCAAGACCTCCAGTCAAGCATTCTTCCTCAGGATACTCAAAGTCATAGTACAGATTAGAGAAGCCGTGCGCATTGCAAACAAGAAGAAGACAGGTAAACCTTCAAATTCGAGTGAACAATTATTACGCGTTCCTTGGGAAAAAAAAAAAAAAGTACAAAATGTAATTCCTTGCCATTTGTATTTAGAAACGAGTCATACTACCGAAACCGCCATGGACACCGGGAACGCGAGTCAACCTCAAAGTTCAGGTGAATATTGATATTTTTTTTTTAACATATGACACCCACGGAATACAAATTACAAGGCGAAACGTGTATTTTATCTTTATCTCCAGGGGGCGATAATAACGAGTCTGACACCGTGGCAATGGATACCACCCAAGCGAATGCATCCAATTCGAACAATGCCAAGACAGCCGAGTCTCGTGCTGGTAAGAGTTGAGGGATAATTAGCGACTACTGAAACTTCCAAAATGAAAGATGAAACTGCATACTTTGTCTTTTTTTTTTTTTTTAGATGAAGATACAACCACGTTACCTTTGCTGAGCGAGAGTTTAGTATTGGACAACTTGTGGGAGACCCTCAGCGCTTGTCTGCTCGAATTGGAACACACTTCCGATCATCACGCCGTCCTAGTCTTACAGGTAATTGTAATTAATTTTTCGCTATCCTCGTGTTAAAAGACATACTAATTTAAAACATCTCGCACCTTAGCCTGCCGTTGAAGCCTTCTTCCTGGTGCACTCGTCATCCAGTACGACGAAAGAACGCAGCGAGACCAACACGGAATCTCGCGACGTACTTCCGGACTTGGCGCCGGTTTCTCCGATATACTCCGACCATGAAGGCACATCTCAAGCCGAACCAACAGTGAACACCTCATGGGACATCGGTCATGCGCCTCAAAGGACTCTGCCGCCTGATCAACTTAAGTTCCTCAAGTTTGCTGGTACGCGTCCTTGCCTTCTTGCGTATCCTCTACACGAGAGTTCCAAGTACTATAGATTTCTTTTCACGTTGATTTCAGAAACGCATAGAACTGTGCTCAATCAAATTCTTCGGCAAACCACCATGCACTTGGCGGATGGGCCATTTTCAGTGCTGGTCGATCACACCAGGGTTCTCGACTTCGACGTCAAGAGAAGGTATTTCAGAACGGAACTAGAACGAATGGACGAGGGGATTCGAAGAGAGGAGTTGGCTGTACACGTGCGCAGAAGCCACGTGTTCGAGGACTCCTTCAGGGAACTCCACCGAAGGAACGCGGACGAATGGAAGAACCGATTCTACATAGTGTTCGAAGGTACCCCTAACGCGACATGAGCAAAATGCGCTCACCGTTAAAATTATTCCGTGATCCCCTAGAAGAGGTCCGATCATTGTCGTTTACCCTTTTCTACGTTTCAATCCAGGCGAGGAAGGTCAAGACGCTGGAGGTCTCTTGAGGGAATGGTATGTCATCATCTCGAGGGAGATCTTCAATCCCATGTACGCACTTTTCACGGTCAGTCCTGGCGATCGCGTCACGTACATGATCAATTCGTCCTCGCATTGCAACCCCAACCACTTGTGTTACTACAAATTCGTGGGGCGAGTCATTGGTAAGAATTTGTACCCAAACGGAGACTTCTAATAGTATTCGAATTGTCGCCGTGCATTTTCCATGTACCGTTAAACTTCTTTCAGCCAAAGCAATCTACGACAACAAACTGCTGGAGTGCTACTTCACGCGAAGCTTTTACAAGCACATACTAGGAATCCTCGTTAAGCACACCGACATGGAGAGTGAAGATTACAGTTTCTACAAAGGCCTCGTGTACCTCACTGAGCACAACATTTCGGAACTCGGATACGAACTCACATTTTCTGCGGAGGTAAAAAATGAATATCCTGATCGTTATCATTACTGTACAACTGGGTGTTGTACGGTTCTGTTTTTAATTTCAATGTATCGCTAGGTTAACGAGTTTGGTGTCAACGACGTGCGAGACCTAATATCAAACGGTCGCAATATTGTCGTCACCGAAGAGACCAAGCTCGAGTACATCAGGCTGGTATGTCAGATGAAGATGACAGGAGCTATTCGCAAGCAGTGAGTACTTCGACTTTTATACCCTTCATTCGGTTAATATAATCAATGTTTCATTTAACCACTTCAAACGTCTTCGTCGACTTCAGGCTGAACGCGTTCCTCGAGGGCTTCTACGACATCATTCCCAAACGATTGATCTCCATCTTCAATGAGCAAGAACTCGAGCTGCTGATCAGCGGACTGCCCAACGTCGACATCGAGGACCTCAAGACCAACACGGAATACCACAAGTACAGCCCGACGTCGTTGCAGGTGAGGGTCGTTGGAATATCTAATGGTGCCCTAAAATGTACCCTCTATAGCCCTGAAATTGTGAATGCATGCATGGTCGTTAAAACGAATCCCGTATTTCCGTTTACCAGATCCAATGGTTCTGGCGTGCCCTACGAGGCTTCGACCAGGCGGACAGGGCGAAGTTCTTGCAGTTCGTGACGGGTACATCGAAGGTCCCTCTTCAAGGATTCGGTGCGCTGGAAGGAATGAACGGCGTGCAGAAGTTCCAAATCCACCGGGACGACAGGTCGACCGACCGACTGCCTTCAGCCCACACCTGGTGAGTAACGAATGGATGAATTTCATTAAATTCAACTCTAACATGGATGCCCCAAACCGCGGGAATATAGCTCGTAAATTCCCTGATGGAACTCGTCCTTCCTGTGCGCAATGTAAGATCCAACGAATGTGAGGGTACTTTGTTGGGACTTGTGTAACAATGGCGCGTCTTGTTCTCCCTCAGCTTTAACCAACTGGACCTGCCAGTTTACGAGACGTACGACAAGTTGCGCAGTAATTTGCTGAAGGCGATACACGAGTGCAGCGAGGGATTCGGATTCGCCTAAGCCCCGTGGTCCAGGGGCAGCTCGGTCGTGCAAATCGCAAACGGACACCGTGGTTGACATAATCCGGTCGTTTTCCTCGAGCCCGGCGACTCGTGAGTACGGCGGCATCTCCCTGACTGTCGAGGTCCTCCGCGTGTCACGGCAATTCGCTCCGAAGGACACGGAGAGAGGAGGCTGCAGAGCAAGGAAACCCGCGGGAGAGATGCGCGACTCGTTGCATGCTCGGTCCTCGCCTCGCCTCGCTTCTAGAGGGTCAGAGAGAGATAGAGAGAACGAAGGATGAAGAGAGAAATCGAGAGAGAGAGACAGAGAGAGAAAGAGAGACACTTTAATATCCATAAGCTACTGAATCAATATATACATATAAATACACGCGCATATGTATATACATATATCTCTAAGTATGGTGTAATTACTAAAGATAACTTTCGAATGCTACCCAACGTTAGAGTTTATTTTGTTGAGAGACCGAGCGAGCAAGGGAGAGAGAAAGAGAGAGAGAGAGAGAGGAGATATCTCGAAGTGGGTGACCGAGCTTAACGATAATTCCCAACAAGGCGCGGAGGATGTGAAAACGAGCGAAGTGAGGAGGCAGTTAATGAAAGCTAAACGCGTAAGGTTACGGATACATTTCATATGTAAGTGTACTCTAGATACGATTTTTAGTATGTTTAAGGGATACGTAAAGCGGCAGCGAATAGACCGGAAGAGGCGGAGAGAGAGGGAGAGCGAAAAACGGGAAGGGAAATTGTAATATACATCACTTCAGACTGGTCAGCTAGAAGTTGCGACCGGTCCGATAATTAATAGCGTCGCGGGAATGCCCGTGGATTTCACACGAGAGAAAGAGAGAGCGAGAGAGAGAGAAAGGAGTTAACGGCGGAGAGAGATACGAAGCGACAGAGAGAACGCGTGTGCCTGTGTGCGTGTCTGTCCGATTTGCGTGAAAGCGCGAGTGTGACGCGAGGCAGAGACGGGGAAGACGTAGAAATCTAGAGCGAGATACAGTGAAATGAGCCTAATTAAATCGATCGCTATGCAAACGGTGTTACCTTGTCCCTCCTCTTTCCTTCCCTCGAGAGATGTGTATGGTTGTATACTATTACGAATAATTTTAACTAATTTTTAATTGCTAGCGGTGATCCTTAATTATTATCATTTTAATATTAATCATTCGAAATGTGATGTTAAAGACGTGTAATTTCTTTGCCCTCTTGAAGTCTAACTAAATAAAGTTTACAGTTGAACCGATGTCACTTTGTGGCCACATGTAGAACAGAGGATCAGGTGCGAAGTCTCTATAGGGCCTTCGTAGTGGGCGGATCCGTGCTCCTTTCGCATTGTTTGGGAATTATTGCTTAGGAATCGCTGGAAATAAATTAAATGTTGTATTTCTTATAAAAAAAAAAAAAGTGAGTTGGACTGCCTTAATTCATTGTACTAATTTTTGTCTACTCCTACGACTTCGTTTACGCTTAGATCGTTTAAATTCATTTTATGGGATACGAATTTGATCGTCGCAGGAAAAATTTGGAAGTAATTACGGTGTATAATTTTTAGCTACGAATTTTAACTCATCGTAAAAGTTGTAACAGGATCCAGTTTTTTTTTTTGCAAGTCATCATGGATTCACCGCCGCAGATGTTGCTGGACTTATTGGTAAGAGATGTTAAAAGATGTTAAACGATACTTGTTATCACAGAAACGAGTTGGGAACAGAGATGATTATATGTATGGTTATATATCAATATTCTTATTTAAGGAAAAGTAAAAATTATACGCGACATGGCTCGGCTTACATCCGCGGCAACACGGAAAAAAAAATTGGTCGCATTTACTGCAGCGACATAGCTAAAACATTGTGGTAATATGAAATACAAAAATACTGAGACGAACTACACGAAATGGTAAATGCAACGTTGGCAATAGGTGTGTACTTGGTATAACTGGCAGATGGCGACGTATCACTTGTCTAATTCGATGTCTCAAGTAACCGGTTTGAATCAGAGATGGCGCTTTAACCTTCGTCCTATTTTTGAAACGGTGCCTCGGGTACCAGAGACATCCGCAGGAATAACGGCGCTCGTGTCGCAAAAATTGTATAGCTGTGTCCCCTTGAGCCTGGCTACACTCATCTTCCCTCTGATACCCGGTTATTTTCTAATCCAAGTGTCGGCGCCATTGTGTTAGGCATCTGGTCGTCTCGGTTATAATTTATAATGTTATTTTTGGGATTGTGTAAACACTTTATTCGTGCCAATGTATTTAATTGGAAACCGTACTTGAATAAAGGCAATGGCCCGTTAAAATGGCAATATTTTAATATAAAAACAAGTATCGCAAATGTAACAGCAAGGTCTGTTTTTGTACAATGTAGAAACTTTACAACTGAACCAGAGCCAAGAACAGAATTGCGGTATCTTGTTGAAGAACCTGCGATTACGCTTCCAAATGTTTTTTACGCTCTTCGGAATTTACTTCTCACTCACTTTATTATCAAACCATTCATGGACAAGGATTTTAACATACAAGACTTCAAGAATGGAGCGATTGAAGTATATAGAAGTATTTTTATTTTTTAACGTGTGGGAGTTCATTTTTGTTGTTGAATTTACTTTATTTATGTTATTAACAGTATATATGTAGCTTGCTTTCAAAAACCTTTGGAAAACTGTTTTGTTACTCTACGTACGTTTATGATATGGTTCTAAAAATAATTATTCAATGTAATCGTTACTTAGTATAAATTAAATAAAAACAATTGCAATATATAAACTAGTACTTATTTTAGGCAGTGTGTATTGTATCCAATGCTTTGGCAAATGGGAATTATGGACAATTACATGGGCTTGTAGAAGAAGGTGTTATTCAAACTTTGAAACCCAAAATTGAATCGTTATCAATGCACCAAAGAAAACAAATCGAAGTGATGAAAGACCATCTTGGTCCTACATTTCTGCATCAAATTGGGATCATATCGAAAGAACGGACAGGTATTTACCTTGGTATTTTATGTGGTCATAATTTGGTACATGAAAGTGTTTTCATAAACATAGACAAGAGGGCGTTTATTTCATTTTAAATTATGCCATTACTAATTTATAATATAATTCTTCATTCTTGTCCATATGGTATGGGCACGATAGATAGGCAACTGGAAAAGAATCATCAAGTGTTGTAAAAGCAAATTGTTTGTCATTGTGTACAGGTACTCCTCAACGATTTATTGAAATCACGATGGTTCACATTTACCTCCCAAGTAGTTTAAAGTTACCATTAATGATCACAGAAATGGTTGAACCGTTTATTGCTAACTATAGATTTATTCGTGAAGTAAAAAAAGATGGTGATTCATATTGGATGATTAATGCTATTAATCACTTCAGAAGTAATGCATTTTAGGTAGGTCTACACTGTGCTATTTCATGATAAAAATAAGGTTCTTTATTATCCAAAACATTAATTAGACTTTTATTTTCTTTCAGGCATTCTATAAAATTCTGTTAAAGAATGTATGTTATACTTGTAAATAAATATTGCAGACTGACCACGTCCATGTCGTACTCCTGAATCCAGTAAATTGCATGTCTCCATCGCATTAATCAATATGCAGATTCAATTCTGAGCATCTCGATCGACACTTAAATTCGGATTTACTGGATTTAGATCCGATAAATCGGATTTTGAGTACAATGAAGATATAGTCATTGTTGACGTTGAAGACTCAAGGTACCAAAATATTAAAGAGGTTCACAGTGGAAGTATTGAAACATAAAAGTTTGAAAATAATTTATAAAGCAATGGTACTAAGTAAAGAAATTAATCCAATGCATGTTACTCTTCAATATTAAGTCCATGAAGTTGTAACAGATTTACTGTCATCTCCTGTTACAGACATAGCAACACTAAATATCCAACTATAAATTAAGTAATCAAAACATCAATGGGTTTTTTTATTATTTTTAACATACTCTTGTCAGTCCAATACTTGTAAAATTGTTGGTACATAATCCATTATTTGAAACAATGAGGCACAAACACGGGACCCATTTCTAGTAAGAGATATCACCAGAGGACCCTGTGGAATAATTATATAATCAGTAAAGTAAGGAATTATTGCATGTTTCATAACTTCCCCAGAACAATTTTTTCTTTTTTATAAAGTTGAGAACATAAAAAGTATATTCAAGGTTCATAATAAATATGTAAAGCTTTTACCTTGCTAATTTGTGGATTAAATATCACGCACTCTTTTTTACGTGAGTTTTCAAATAAATTATTTTGCTTGACAGGAATTGAATTATAAAAATTTGCACTGTAATTTTCTGGGCATGATACAATAAGGCGAATTATATTTAAATATGGAACTATATGAGGACAAATTGTAATTGTACATTGTAATTGTCCTTCACAAAACTTAACAGTGCACGATTTTGTTGGAAATGACATGAATTTATTTAAAGCTTCAACAGCTGGTGGAGGGCTTCCTGCAACATGTTCATAATATTAATGATAATAATCTATAATGTAAAATAAATCGGTAGAGCCCTTTAATTACTGCCATGAAAAATAATAGTGAGAAAATTATATTTACTTTTATATGTTGAGTCTGTAAGTCGATATGGCTTTGTTACCGTTGTTGCAAACATTGGAATTTGGTTACGTTCAACACCCTTTAGCCATGTATCTATTGCTGTAAGTAATACACGTGAAATAAAAGATTGATACCTGTAATAATATGATTATTTACGACTTACATTTTCCCACTTTTTCAAATACTTTTGTCACAGGTATGTTTTTGTCAATGTATTTACTGAGATGCGTTACATACAACCCACAGCCATCACTCATTCGTTCATAGCTGGGTCTATAACTTGACGTAGAATATGCTTGGATCAAATTTCTAAGATTCTGCTGACCTTTATATTCTTTTATAGTTGGTACTTCTTCATAGATTGCAGGATTATATTCCCTACCAAGTTTTTATTCGTTTAGATAAAAATATCATGTTTAAAAATAATAAATAATAGCAATAATAACATACTTTGGTGGTATAGTTTGGCACATGTCTAAAATGACAACTAAAAGAGTGGGATCATTTTGCAAAACTGTTGAAAGAAGCTGGCTCTCGCAAATAGCATTTTTCCTTAAATATGCCTCAGGCGCGTCAATGGCAAGCATATAACTTTCCTGCATCTTAAATCCATGTCCAGCAAAATAAAATAACCCTGGGACATCCACATAATGCATAAAGACACGGTATACACATATAGATTAATAAATTAGTACTACTTTTTTATGTGTTTATCTTACCATACACTCCTTCGGAGAGAGCTTCTGAAAATGTTTTTATGGCATTCTTCATTTGTGTAAATGTTAAATTTAACAAACAAATAACTTTGAAACCTATTTCACTCAAAAGACGAGCAATCTTGGCAACATCATTCTTAGGTGTATGCAGCTTGTCATGGTTTTCATAATCTTCATTTGCAATCAGTAGAGCTATCTTGGCAACTGCTTTATATCGTGGAAGGTCCATCTGCCATAATAATCTTGGGATGATTCATAACAAAGTGCATAATAGATATTATACAAAAAGGCAGTAAAGTGTTTTACCATTACATTGCATCTTTGGGAATAAACTTCACCGATATTATTATATGCATAGCAGTGATAAATTCCTTCATCTGCAGAGCTAAATTTATTTATCTGGAACACAAGTGCAATGTAATAATACAGGCATATATACTTGATTAAAAAAAAAATAGTTAACGTATTTTTGATAATCAATACTAAAATTAGTCATACATGTTGCTGCATGTAAAACAAAGTCAATATCATGTACTCACTTGTAATATATTTGAAGTTTGCTTATCTAATTTTGTATTGTCTCTAAACCACTGATATTGTGGTGGTGGATGACCTTGCACTTCGCAGCTTAGCATAAAATCATCTCCTTCCTTGACTTCTAAAAACGATATCGGTTGCTTTGTAATAGCAACAGGTGTTGACTTCACTTTGACAAACATTGGTTTTGAAAACTGTTGATCTATAATAAGTCCGTCATTGTCGAACTGCGAAACTGCACACTTATATTCTCCTTCTTGATTGACACTTTGCAAGAAATAACACATAATAAAGAACCACTTTACTTTTTCAAAAGTCTCATAATTTGTAAGAATTGAAAAATACAGATGATTTACATAATCATAAAATATGTATTTAGGGCAGAATTTTTCATTCCTTCGTAATAGATGCCCATACCTGTTTATAGAAATTTCCAAGTGATCGCTGCAGCAATTGGCTAATTGAATATTTCCATGATACCAAACATATTTTGGTACTGGAAGGCCAATTGCTTTACAATTTAAGATAAGTTTTTGCCCTAAGGCGATCTCTAACATATTGGTATCATATTCAAAATCGGGATTTCTTGTAATGAATAAATTTTCTGTACAACAGCAAAATTGATTAATAATTTATACACAGAATACAGCTCAGAATAATTAGATATTCGAGTACAATTACCTGATTGAGATAAAATCATAAGTGCGTCAAACAGTGCACAATTTTTAAGTAGAGTACATAGACCTCCCACTGTACACATTTTTATATTCAATTCAAACAATAATTTTTCAACAGGTGTCATATTGTTCCGTAAATCATTGTTCGAGTTTTGCAACATCTGGATCCAAGATTTACTTAATAGAAAATTAATCGTCATCATAAATAGTGAAAATTAGTAGATGACATTTTGCATTAATTTAAACACAAATTGATATCAATTGGTTAAAAGATAATATAATTGATAAGGCTATTATACCTAAAAGAACCCAGTTCCTCGGATACATATTCGGCAAGCTTTAACCAATTACGATCCTTACTCAATTCATCGACCAGTGCCTTGTGGACGCTCGCTGGTAAATTTTCAATTAGTTCATCTTCATTAACAGTCGACATCTTAACCTTCGGGAATATGAAATCGTAACAAAGTGAAAAATTATTCGGTTCTCCTTACTTCGTACATGGCTCCTATTATCAAAATATTTACAATATCAATATCAATTTAACATGGGAAATGAAACATAAGTTATAGATAAATTGCATGATTGTTACGGTAACATATGTACCTATCGTTAGTATAAATACATTGCCCATGAATTATTAGGAACGCTTTTATTTACCTATTTCACGGTACATATACAGTTTTAATATTCACATTCTGTCTCTGTCCAGTATTCCACACACTCTATCATCATGAAATTAAATACATCTTGCTACGTCTTCTCTCCACCAGTCTCCCAAATTGGTCTGTATCTGTATTTTTTAAGGATTTCGGCTTTTTTCTAAAGGCTCAGTACCAATAGTTGCCTCCCAAATTGATGAATCAGGAGAGATAACGATGCACTCATCGGCGAGGAATTCACGCGTATCTTGAAACTCAGCAGGAACAAGGCAAAGTGAGAATTTAGCATAAAACGTCCGATTTCGCAATTTCAAAACCGACCACATCACTTCCCAGATGGCAGGTTTATCAGCGGCAACGTTCTTTGTTTAAACCTCGCCACTCTCGATCGGTACGACAGTCTCGTTCCTAACCTCACTCTCCTCATAATCATAAATCGGCAAACAGGCGAAGCGATGTTTAATTTATTATCCATAGGAGGTTCTACTTACTTAACAGATCCTACCACGTTTTCGATAAACTCGAAAATACATGCATCGGAGCCACCTCGGTTTTCGAACGGCGCGCCAAGAAAGAATCGCCTCGTTCCTTCCGAGAGGGCGCAGGAGTCGAAGTGGAAACGAGCGCGTAGTACGGCCAGAGAGGTCGCGCTCGGAACGGAGGAGCGCCTCGGCCCGCCTGGCCTCGGCAAAGTCAGAAAAGAGGAGGCAAGGCGGGCGCAGCTGGTCGCCCATGGTGTCGTCGGTCCGGAGCGGCGCTGGAGCGGCGCGAGCGCGAGTGAGCGCGAGTGAGCGCGAGTGAGCGCGAGCCAGGCCAGTCGCGGGTGGTGCGGGGACCGCGTCAGTGGCGGACCGTTGGTTCGACGCGCAGCCAGGCTGGCCCGCGGTAGGAAAAACCGCTGGCCTTTCGGAACGCTCGAATCCAGTCGGCGCGTTTTTACTGCGGGGTCACATCCGGCCGGGTGGGGGGTCGCCTTTGGCGGCGACGACCAATGAGCCCGCGAAAAAGGGCTCCTGCGCGATGCGCGTGGCGCGCTGCGCCGCATAATCTTGCGTATCAGTGATCGTCGGTGTTCGTCCGGAAGGCGGAGGGGCACCTTAGTCGGGATTTCCGGAAGGCCCGGGTCGGTGTGCGCTATCTCGGTGCCGAGGACCGCGCGCCTCGAGGGACGCGACCCAGACGGTGGACGGGCTGCCGCGAGCCGCCGATCGCAAGTCCAGCGGCCGAGCCATCATGGCGAGCCCTCGGAAATTCAGTGAAAAGATCGCCCTGCTCAACCAGAAGCAGGCCGAGGAGACGGCCGCCTTTGAGGCGATCATGCGAGAGGTGTCCGATGTCACCAGCAGAGTAAGGATGCCCCCAATCGAATGCTTTTAACCGTCGCTCGAGCTCCCGTCGCCCTCGGGACGGACTCGGCGCGAGCGGCGTCGCTCCCCGCGCCCCGCTGCCCGGACGCGCGCTCGAACGTAAACACGCCGACCGCTCCTCGAGACCTCGGCGTGTGCGGGCGCGTGCTGCCTCCCGGCCGAGCCGCCGAGTCGAGCCGCCGCTGCCGCGGCGCTCGGCCGTGCCTCTCTCGCGCTCCGCCCCTCGCGCCGCGCACCGAGCGCGGCCGAGGTGCACGCACGTGTCGCGGGGCGCACACGTGTCCGAGCGCCACCCGACCCCGCGCCGCGCGGTTCCTTCCCGAGGTTTAGTTTTCCCCTCGAAACCGAGCGCGGGGACCGCGGAAAAATTCCTAAGGAATTCCTGCGCCTCCGACGTCGAGTCGCTTCCACGTCCACCCTCCTGGAGCGACAACGACGCGGGAAGAGACGCGCGCGTAGAATCGAACTCGATGATAACATCGAGTGCTCGAACGGAGTAGGATTTATTTTCCTCGTTTTTCTCCTTCTTTTTTTTCTTTCTTCTGTTTCCCTGCCGTGTAACGCCATGGCGTCCTTAAAGGGGAGGGGGCATTGGACATTTAAAGCGCCGTCCCGGTGTCGGGACTGCGGGTATTTTTAAGCGAGGGGGAAACGATGTCATCCAGTTGAATGGTATTTCGCGAAAATTGCGGGGCAAGTGTCGTCGATGATGCCTTATCGCGCGTCATCTGGCCTGCGTTAACCCGCTGTTTTTATCATCGCTCGGTCCGGCCGCTGCAGGATTCCGCAAGGCTCGTTGTAGATCGGTATTTATTCGCCGCTTTTGTCCGCTGCAGGGCGACCCACGCTCTTGGACCCGGCCTCGGGTATATTTTCGGGCGCGTCTCAAAAACTCCCGTTTTCGGGGTCGACGCTCTTAACACCTCGTTTACCTTCCCGCAGACGGGACGAAGAGACCCCGGACGATAACGGACGAGCGACGTCGCGACGACCGAATTTATTTCCTCGACTCCGTGGGATTAATTTATCCGTCACGGTACCGGAGGCCCTCTTCCTTAGTTTTCCCGCGACAAGACACACTGTAGGCGCCCTGCATCGCGGATGCACTTTCGCATACCCGAGTCGGTGCATTGTCGCGAGGCGTCGACTCTCCACTCCGTTTTCTTTTTCTTTCCCTCTCGGCACCCCTCTTTCGAGCACTCTCGCAATTTCTCTCCTCTCAATCGATCTCGTTCTTTATAAACATTCATAATGCGCAGGCAGTTTCCTTTGGGAATTGTGCGCTCGCCATTATGTAAGCGGTCCCAGTGGACGATCGAAAGTTGTAAATTCGTCCCATGTTTTGCGTTGTCAAAAAAAAAAAAAAAAAAATAGAGAAGGGAACTACGACGAGATGGGTGCACAATTAAACTCTCCGACTGCAAAACACACTTTTCCGGTAGAATTCCGGCGACCGGTTTCGCTTTTCGTTCTCGACGGCCTTCAAAATCTTGTTTCGGTGTTTCATCCTCGCGTTTCGTGTATTACATTGCCGACTTGCAGATGACTTTCGTTGACTTGGGGGGGGGGGTTCCGGTCCCACGGTGTCGGTTCTTCAAATTTTGGGTCCCGGAACCTTGGCTATCGCAAAAAGCAGAGACGATTCGCGGTACGTGGAGAGGCGCCGGCTCGGGGTGGATGTTTAAGCAAGATTCGACTAAACTCGATAAGAACCGGTACACCAAGGGCGGTCTTGTTTGCTTTCTTTGGGCGCCTTAAACCGAGTATCGGTGGATCTTGAAGCGACTATCACTATAGTACGTATCCCCCCCCCCCCCCAGCTGTGCGTACGCCTACGCGATGGTCTGTTTGATTTTCGGAGGTCGTCATGCACATTGTACACGCGTGGAAACTCGAAACGACTCTCGGATCTCGTCTTTGCCGCTGAACGAGCCGGATTCGATCTGCTTAAATTTATCGCGTTGGAATTCTAGAGACGAATGAAGATTTTGGGGCAGAAAATGGAAAGAAGAGGAGGACTTAAAATGGGGATAAAACGAAACGTGGAGTGGAGAAGGGGAGAAATAAGGTTGTAACGTGGAATAAGGAGGATAGGAATGAGAGAGAGGAAGAAAAATGTAATGGAAAGTAAAATAATCGCGGTGTCAATTTGAGTTCGGGAAGACACCTTTGTGGGGGACGCTCCGAACTTTTCGAGGCGGTCAATAGCCTGAACTTGTTCGTCTGTGAGAGAGAAAAAAAAAGAAGTGATGTCGACGATCTGTATTTCTTTGTCCTGGGACATTGTTGCGGGGTTTGTGGTTTTTTTTGGTTCTTTTCTCGATCTTTTTTTTGTGGATGTGTAGTCAGGGCGACCTGTGAGAGAAATGCTTTGACTGCGGTCGGGAGCTTTTGTCGCACCTTCGGTCACCCCGAGGTGCCACGTGGCCGACCTCCTGGAGGCTTTTACCTTTCACATGAGAGAGCTGGACGATGATCCGCCGATCCTCAAGGAGGACCACTTAGGGGACAAAGATGTCGAGGAACTTGCCGATGCGGTTCTCGGTATTTCGTAGCCACCCTTGAATAGCAGCCTCTTCTGCTTTCCGAGGATCATGTTCGGTCCATCTCTCATCCTCGGTCTCCTGGTTATACGTCCACTCGAGGGGCTTATCGGGTGGATCGTTAGGTGTCGGTCCCAGGGTTGAGCTGATTTAAGTCGCTTGATTAAAACGATTCGATTAAAGTCTAGATTAAAATCGACGGTCTTAACTGCTCGAAAGCATTTCTTTCGAAGGAATCATGATTTTTATCAACTCCGGTTGGTCCCATTCATTTTTTTTTTTTTTTCTGGACACTTTACGTGCCGATTTAACTGTTGAACATTTAAGTACAATTTACGGAAGCTCGGACGTTCATGTATTTGTTAATTAACGATATTTCATTCATATTCCCGATATTTCAGGGCCGGGGTGATTCCAGGATTTATCAAATTTGACCACGAGTCGTCAATATTTAGGAGACTTACTTGAATAGTCTCCACGATTTCGTATCACGTCACGGTCCTTCGTTGCGCTTCTTTTTCATTTGTACGGTAGACCGGCGATAAAGAGGCTGGATTTTCCTAGGGGAAAAGGAGAGGCTCCGAAGGAAGGACGCTACGTGATATATTCTATGCTAGACTTCTCGGCTTGTAACGCGATTTGCGGGGAGAAAAGGTCCATGAAGAAATATAGGGGAACCGGTTATTATTGCCTTTCAGACCTCGCACTTTCTTATGGCCGACGGCGGTGTCATCTTTAGAGACTACTCGCCTCGGGTACTAGCCGTGTTTCTTTTTCCTTGTCAAATTCGAAGATATCATTTCCACGACTCGGTTAGAGATACCTACTCCTCGATTTAAGCTTTCGTCGGAGGCGCATCGGTGGCTTACAGTTCCTGTTCTATTTTTCACGTTTTATATCCCCTGACTCATATCTTCTGTCTTACACTTTCCGTGTTTTATCTCTTTTGCCTTATACCTAGTTTACGCTTTGTATTGTATACTTTGCGATTTATACTTCACGCCTTGTATTGCATAACGCATTGGTGCATCCCGTAGGTATGGGAGGGCGTTCTAACTTAATCGGTAATGAAATGATATCAGCGAGTCCGCGCCAGATTAGCCCTCAAAATTGGATCGTTCTCGTCGATCTCTCGAAATGCAATTTGGCGCGAATGTCTCTACCGAGTTTCTTGATTATACCCGCGACTACAATTGCATCATCGCTCGGCGATGTGGCGTGTAATTGCATACGCGATACACGTGGGGAGGGGGGATATTTATTCCCCAGGTGAATCGCAAAAATGGGGGAACTCGTTTCTCGCCGGATAATTAAAATAAATTAACGGACTTGTTTTCAAATCATAAGCCGTTGTCGATCTTAGAGTCGGCTGATCGCGTCATTTATGCGTGTACGTACTACCGAGGGGAATAAAAATTTAACGGGGTCCTCGCTATGCAATTAAACGTTCAAATAGACGCCCTGGAGACGGCCGCGCTATTTGTTGCGGTTAAGTACTCGTTTAATTCGCTCAATTAGCATTTATTTCGCTCAACTGGGCGGATGGGGGAGGTCGACGTTATTTCACCGTTTTACGGAGTGTCCCGCGTTCGTTAAGGATCGCTTTTTTATATCTTTTTTTTTAAGTGAAATTTCTTCTGCCACTTTCGCACGTGTAAATTCCCGCGCCATGAAACCCACTTCAGAACGTGAAAGGTTTTTTTTTTTTTTTAATAACAGTCAAATAACGTTGAAATTCAGCCATCTTTTACCATGAACACAGTTTATCGCTGGTGCGTTATTCTCTCGGTTAATTATCACCGTTTAAAGTCAAATGCAAATGTTATAGTTAAAAAGTATAATTATGCCCGAACCGAGTAGAGTCATTTCGCGAGAGAATAATCGAGAGTAATTAATCATGTCCAATAATTCTCATTAATATCGTGGATTCACTTTGGTGAAACTGCACCGATTTTTATTTTATTTTATTTTTTTTTGTGTATGTATTATTTCTTCCTCTTCTTTCGATATTCATTCCTTTCGTTTCTCCTCCTTTGTTTGCTACTTATTTGGTGCTTTTCGATTTTCATTGTCCCGCACGACAATCAAATTATTTTTTCTCAGGTGTTTCTTTGGATATGTCGGGATAATTCACAGCTCGTCGGGAGTGCCACGTTCCCTCGTAGAACCTGTAAAACGCGAAAGCTGTAAAACCTTGGGCTAGACACGAGGCCTCTCGCATACTTTGTCGGGAATCCTGGGTCGCGTGAACGCACGACACGTGGACCACGCCAACGTTACGCATTCCGAGAGTCGGTCTATTCGTGAATCAGAATGTAGAATTTGGAGGGCCGCGACGGTATTTAGAGTCGAGGCCCGTGACTCTCGCCAAACGGGCTTTCTTCCTCGTTCATAATCGCACGGATAGTTCCCGCCTTCGCGAATTAAACGGTCCATTGTCTCCCGTAAACCGAGAATTCGTGAAGCTAACATTCAGAATTTCACGAGTAGAGATTGGCGAATGTAGACATTCAGGAATGTAGAAATTCGTGAATATAAAAAAAAAAATTCAGGGGTATAGTAACTCGTGAGTGTAGAAATTCCCAAATGTAGACATTCAGGAATGTAGAAATTCGTGAATATAAAAAAAAATTCAGGAGTATAGTAATTCGTGAGTGTAGAAATTCGTGAATATAAAAAAAAAATGCAGAGGTATAGTAACTCGTGAGGGTAGAAATTCGCAAATGTAGACATTCAGGAATGTAAAAATTCGTGAATAAAAAAAAATTCAGGAGTATAGCAATTCGTGAGTGCAGAAGTTCGCGAGTATACGAAATTCAGGAATGTAGAAATTCGTGAATATGCAAACTCGCGGATATAAAAACTCGTAGAGGGAGAACTGCGTGTGCGTTAACGCATCTTTGCCAAGTGTCTCTGGCCGGTTCGTTTTTCACTCGTGTCCGGTCAACGCGGAAGCATTTCGAATTCGCTTGGGTGTAGATACCGAAAATATCTCGCGCGCTCCCTCGAACGTCAAAAGTAGGCTCGATAGGTCGCCCTCGTTAATTTAAATCCCGGGAATAGGCGAGTCGTAATTAAATCGTTAATTAAATCACTCGTCCGGACGGCGCGGCCCGCGTTTCCCGTGGATCGGCTTATAATCTCGCGCAGCTGGTAATAATTGTGACCATGCGGCGAGAAATGTGGAAAATGTAATTCCGTCGGGTGCGTCGATATTAACGCGATCAACGTGATCGTTCGGGATTTGGTATCCGATGGGGAGAAGACTTTGAATGACTCCTCCGTAGGGGATTTTCTTTTCGGCCCTTCGTGCCGATTTTCCGCGGGCCCGGACAATAACTTCTAATTGAGTAGTTCTCGCCGCTTTTCTGCGGCCTCCGCGAGATGAAGTGCCGACGTATTCAAGACAAACGGGCGGACGTTTCGGGCCGCGGAAGAAGTATTAATTCACCCGCGTTGGAGGAATTTCTCCGGGAAAGCGGCCGCGCGCGTTTTACCGGGCCCGGGAAAGGTGCGCGAATCGCGGTAATTTACGGCCCCCGGAGCCGAAAGAGATTACACGAGAAACATATTCGGAACGTACTTTGAATCACGGCTGGCAGCGTGTTTAGTAAGATGAACGTCTCACGACGCACCGTTACCCCTGGGAGACGCAAGGAAATAATGGTTCCCATTAAGGGGAAAAAAAAAAAAAGAGGAAGAGAGAAAACCATTTTCCGGGACCAAACAGCAATTTTTCTTACGAGGTTAGGGTTACCCGAGTACAGCACCGTGACTTATCATTCACCAATTAAAATCCCATATTTCGTCCGAAAGTGTAAACATCGCTCTTATATGTATTCAGATCGTGTACAAAGGAGGCACTTTTCTAAGGGGGTACACAAGTTAGACGCGGTTAATTCTTAATCATGTACATCACGACGAAGACGACACTAAGAAATAAATGTCGAAATCATGTCCACATTAAATCCAAAATAATGACTACGGCGAACTTTCCCTTTTTTTTTCCTTCTAATTTTTATAGCAGCGGTAATAGTGTACAGGTGAAAGTATCTTGCTTGTTCGGTGCGTCCACGGTTCAACGGGAGATATAAAAAAAACATTAAGAACGAATCATGTACCGTGAAATCTGTGTACTACCTGACTTCCTGAATAAATATCGTGGAAACCGCAGCATCCTGCGTCTCTGGATATCTCGCGTTACCCGCACTGAGAGAGAAAACCTTCGCCGAATAATACGAAAGAAAGATTGTATTAATTCAAGGAACAATTATTTCACTCGATCTGAAATAAATCGTCATGATTTCGGGAGTGTTTATCATTTCACGCGTAAAGAGTATTAAGAATGAACCATATGGAAAATCATTGAGAACGGAAATTGCGGGACCCCTGCACCCCTGCATTTCGCATTACCTATGCGAGATCGCCACGGGGGAGGGGAATTAACGTAAACGGTAGACAGTAGATAGAAGGGGTGCGAAGTTACGGGTGGTGTTGAGAGGGTGTCTGATGAACTGCTCAGGTGGCGGGCGTGGCATCGGCGAGCAGCTCCGTGGGCGCGAGTCCCACGGGATCCGGGCTACCGGAGGCCCCCCTGTCCGTCAAGAGTGCCGACGCTAGCCCGCCCCAGTCCACCGGGAAGCACCTGCACATTAACCTGGGCAATCAGTTCAGGGCGGGAGGCTCCTTGCCCAACGTTAACAACAACGCGAACGGCAACAAGGCCAAAGACCCCTCTCCGAGTTCCGCCGCTATACATTCTATCGACCTTAAGGTACTGATCTCTTTCGGCTTCTCCTAGTTTTTCTCGCCTCTCGTTCTCACCTGCCTAGGTCTTTACCTCTCACCCCCCCTCCCCCGTCTCCTGCCTGATACCACCGAGATATCCCATCTTCAGCGCCTGGACCGATGATCGTCCCGCCGCACTTTTCGTTCATGTACTCGTAGTCGATGTTTCACCTCATCTCGTTCACCTGGTCTCCTCAAATGTTACCGTTAATTAACATTCCGGCGAAAATGCGGCCCGAAAGCTTCCCGCTCGCTTGGCGACCCACGAATGCCTCCTCTCCCCTTCTGCATAATTAATGTTAAATGCATTATTAACGAGGACGAAGCCTGGACTTGGACGGCTCCATATCTCACGAATCGCTGAATTTGTCCCTTCCGATGAGACGTCGATTCGCCATTTTTATTTTCCGCTCACGGTAAAAATCACTATTAACCTTGATAATACGATCTTCGGAAGTGCAATTCAGAATTTGGAATTTTGGGGGAGCGGTGGGAAGGTATTCGTGCCCTCGTTCGGTATTCCAGTACTTGGCTGCTTGGTCACGACCATTTGAACATTTGTACATTTGTATATTATGCATAGCATGTCCTCGGTGTAATAATGTCCTCATCGTTCCCTGTGTACGTTAATAAAGGAGAGACGTTACTAACACCTGCATTTATTTCATTGTTTCACACGATCCTTAGATTAATCGTATGTATATGTATCTGCATATCTCTACGTTTGTTCGTACATGGTACTTGTACGCATAGCACGTTAGAGGAGTCAGGTATGTCGCGTTAGTCACACGTATGCACGTTGCTTGCCGTCTGTGCTCGGCTTCCTTTAATCCATTGTTACATTGCATACATTTAGCATCCGAGGTGCTGCGCATTGGGTACGTACATTTTATTCGAGCGAATCATCGCGTTCACCGAGCGCTTTGTTTAGCTAGCGTATTGTCCTGTAGAGCACGATCCGCCATTGCGTCGCAATTATATGATGACCATCAGCTGGAAGCGAAAGTGAAATTACTTACTTTTTGCCTACCGTGGTGTACGTTCGGAGGTGTCTTGCGCGGTGTGGTATGACCCGAGTAATTTGGGCAAATCGTTAAAAGTGCGAATTCAACGACCTCGTTAGCGACGTTCGAGTCGCAGGTACTGCCTCGAGAGAGGAGCCCAGGTTTGTGCAACAGCACCTTTCAGGTGCGCCTTTCCTTTGGATCCCAAAGACGGCCACATATCCCCGGGTTCCTCGAACCGTTTAACGTGCCCCCCCTACCGCTGAATAGAGAGAGATATTTTTCCAAACGATTCTCGTTACGATCGCCGCGCGATTTCCCTCGGAGAATGCTCTAGCCGGTTTACTGCCGCGGTACTCAAAGCTTTCCCGAACTACAAACGCGTGTTTAGAAGCGAACCCGGTGCCTACTGTCGCGGTGGATAAACAATTTAATCGCAGAATGGATTCGCTCCACTTCGGTCCTCCGTGGGACTTTATTTCCAATCCTACCAATGGGAATAAAGGACTTACTTTCGGGTTCGCCTTTCCGATGCACGTGGCTATGTTGTAAACCTTCTCGCACTCGTCAGCGCCATCTGAAATCGGATTAAACATTTATATATAATATAAGTGGAATTTTTATACTCGGGTATAGGTTAGGATCGGAGTCGATCGGATGGGTCTGGACCCTCCTGAAATATATTATGGACGTGGTGCAGATTTTTCTTCTTTTTTTTTTTTTTCGTTATAGATTTTTTTGTACATCTTCAGAAAATCTCGGCGGGGTGGTTTTCGACGTCGATTGTTCGCGGAGGAGCGGAATGAGCTTTCGAAGGGGATGGGAAAGTCGGGAGTCGGTTTGGACTGAGCTAATATGAGCTTTCCCGCGATGCTGACTTGCGGGTGAGACGGTTAGCTTTCCTGGCCGGATATTTGCATAAACTAGTGGCTTGCCTTAGAGTCGAAGGGACGACAAAGTCTCATCCTCGGGATCCACTCTGGCTTGTCTTGGGGATGTTTCCTTAATGTAATAATTGCTCACCTTCTTTGCTGCACTTATCCAGGACATTTCGGGCGTCGTCTTGCATGTTCTCCGGCAACATTCCTGTCATCAGCTCCACCTCCAAGTTGCCGTCCTCGTCGATCTGCAATGGGAAATCTGCAGAGCTTCCGTAATCTACCTCGAAGTCGGTAAATTCGCAAAGCGCGACACCTCGTGTCCTTTCCTTTTCCCGGGAGATTCATTGTGACTTCGTTTATTCAAGGGAGAAGAAAAATTACCATGCTGATGGCCTCGAACAGGCAGTGCATGTAGCATTTCAGGCTCCTTATGTCAGGTACGAAACCGTTGTCCACCTGGTCGATCATGTCTGAAATTCCAGGATGATAGATGCATCAAGTTCTTTACCGAACCCGATGAGCAAATCCGATTTTGGTCATACAGGTGTTAGAAAAAGGCGAAATTGAGATCAATACTCGACTGAACGAGACCAAGAATGCACGATCAAAATCGATTTTACTCATCGCTTTTGACCAACACCTCGAATTACCTTGGGTAGTACTGTGGGTACTCATGCAGGTTTCCTTATCGTCTTTGACCATGGCCAGCATCTCCGGAGTCACCCAGTCAGGTACCTATATCGCGTTCCAAAAATGGGAGAACTGCTAAAACCTAATAGCAAGTAATTCTACACTCCACTCGGCGATGCCGAGTAAATCGAGTTGGTAAAGTGCTCCACTCGTGGCGTCATTGTATGACCCACCTCAACACCGGAATAAATGCCACCTTCGAATCCCTTTTTGAAGGCTGTTTGTCCGGGCTTACCTTGGCACTAACGAGAACGATCTGCAGGAGACTCGCGGCGACGAAGACGGTCCCGAATCCTTTCATGGCGCTGAATCGACGATGCGTTATCAAATGGGCCCGCCTCACCTGTCGAGCATTATAAAGCGGCAGGACGGGATGTGGGCGTGATTGGGACAGCCAAATTAATGACATACTGCCGGTCCCAAAGTACGGTATTTTCCCGCGATTCCTCCGGGTTCTGATTAGAGGTTGCCTGGACCATTCTTCGGCGATGTTCGCATCGCGTGACTTTGCGCCTCCGCTGACGTAACGAGCGACGCCGCGACCGGAAGTGGGAACTCGCCACGTGAAAATCCTCAGGATTTTTCCCGGCGCACACCTAAACGGCCACTGGAAACGAAGATAACGACGAGTTTGCGCTCGAGCCACGCACGTCCTTGTCGGACCTTGTTCTTCCACTTGTTAATTCGCTTTGTAGCGCCCCGTGTATCGTCTCGTTAAGGGGGATCAAAGGCGACCTTTTGCCCCGCTCTGCTCGCCGGCGTCGTGGCTGCTCGCGATTTTTTTCGAGCCTGGAGCAAGGAACTCGACTCGACTCGGACTCTTCGTCATCCCGGGAAGATGGATCAACATCGAACGAGAAGATCCGGTCGAAATCGAGGGAGATTTGCCCGAAATTCGAGGCTTTTCCTCGCTTCTCCCGAAAAACCAAGATGGCGGCCGCCTCGTATCTCGCGCGTCGGTTCGGGTCGAAAATTGCCGCGGGCGTTGTTTTTGTTTTTCCGTTCGTTTCTACGCTCGTTTCCGGGATAACTAGAGTCAAGTTGCGTTTCCATGGGGTTGTGTATGTTGCATTAGAGCCGATTATCGTCCCCGGGAAGCCGTGTTTCGGGTAATAACCGCGACAAACTTTTCGCACATCGCGGTCGCGGGTCCGGGCATTGTTCCCCGTGTATGTACCCTCTGCGGTTGAAAAATTAACCCGCGGCTTCCATGGCGAGGCGCATTTCCGACCGCGGAAAATCGCGGACTCCCCGGGGGTCCTCCGAACGGGTCTCCCATTAGTTAAAACGCGATATTCCCCTCTCGCAGAGGGAGACTCCCGCTTTTGCCCTACTGTGGAAAGTACTTTGCGCCTTGCCGCAACGTGGGGTGTACATATAACCATGCGTGGGCACCTATTCGTTAGCCTGACACCGGCTTTCCACGTATCGGATTAAACTCGTTTCTCCGGAAGCTAGCTTGCGACTCCGGTCCCCGTTTCAGCCTTTTTTTTTTTCTCTACCCTATATATCATAGTCGTCGTTGCGGTTTCGTGACCGACATAGAGATGCACCTGCATCTGGCGTTGCGAATGGGTTCTGACCCCTGGAGAGTCGAGAGACCCTGAAGAGACCCGTTTGGGCCCTTTAAAAATCACCATCCTTGTTTTTATCCATTCAATGTGAACCTTGCGAAGACCTCTTCTCGTCGCCTCTGATATCTCGATTATGCCGGAAATTTTATAAGTCCGGATTGCTATCAGATATCGCCTTATGGTAAAATCCCTAACGTCGCGAGGGATTCCTCGGCTATGATGGCCAGATAAGTTCTATCAGATTCCGTCGATTTGATTCAATCGGCAACGTCCGAGGTCCGTCACGTGCGGCGCCTTTCGTCACCCTGACGGCGCAGTCATTACCGAACCGATTCCTCATCCGATCGATTCGATCGATTCAATCGACCGCATGGTACCATTCATCGCCCTAATAAGAAGAAAGAACAGTAAATTAGCGCCGATACGCTTATTCGGCAAAATTCGAGATGCTCATCGTTTTGCTCCCAACCACGTGGCCCCCGGCGACCTCGACGTCGATATTCAATTATCGATCCGAAGAAAACACGGAATAAAAACTGATTGACGAACGTTCGAGAAAGTCACGAGCAGACTCGGTACGCGGAAATCCCGGGAGCCCACCGACTTTTTCTGATGTTTGGAAAAATTTCACTAATCAGCTGTTGCGACGGCTGGATTATTAATTATTAATAATTTCTCAGATGATCGGTCGTGGACTCGAGGTGGATGTAGATACGAGGATTGTCGATAGCGGCGAGACTTTCAAATTCTACGCAGTTGAAAGATCATATCTCGTCGTGTATTCAAGTGATCTCTTAATTTCCTTGCTCTCTTCCTCGATTTTTTTTCTGCGACACCGATCGATCGATTGTCCAAGAATGCCCGATAAACGGCGAGAGCCGCGGACACGTGGATCCTTAGGGGATCGTGCCATTCCGGAATCCGATTTTTATCTCGTCCCTGCGAATGCGACCCGATCGGCAGCAGATATTCGATATTGGCCGGCTAGATTCGATATGGAGGGATCGGCCGCGCGCGAGGCAAAAAGAAAAAGAAAAAGAAAAAAAAAGAATTCAACAATAAATCACGGCGCCGTTGGTGTGCAAGCGAGATCGCGTCTCGGATTTTGCCGCTCGAACATTCGCCCAGAAATATATTGGAAATGGTTTTACGACCGTCCGGCTTGTGCTCAAAGATTAATGATAATCCGAACTTCGAGCATCACGCCTCTTCCAGACTCGGCGCTTCCCCTCTAGCCCCGCCGAACGTTCGGCTTCGGTTTTTACGGTGCACTCCTGGAAACGACAGTTTCTTAATTCTCTTATTTCATCTCCCACTGTCATCTACGCCCCTTCGTTTACTGGCGAAAATTTCGCTCCCGAAATGTCCAACCTCTGTCTGGATTTTTCGGACGAAAGTCGAGACATTCAACAGGGCAGTTTCTTTTTATTCATATATTATTCAACATGAAGTTGCTAATTTTATCGTTAAAGTATACGGCATTTAGCAGCCAGTCCTCTTCATAGAAGGGCTATGGTTAGATTTACTTTTGATGCAGTTGCAACAATTTTCATCGATGGTGCGTTACTGCACGGATGAAACTGCCAGCAATTAATAAAAATATTCCAGGCGTGCGAATGTCTCCCTTTTTTTTTTTTGGGTGTGTGCGTATGTAAAGGATCTTCTGGTGGAGGTAAATTCATCCAAAGGAGGCTCAGGTGCGCAGGATAAAGCGAGATTAACTAGTCTCTGTTCGGACACAGAGAGAGGCTTCGCGCTCAGGAGCCAAGGTTGGCGTTCGATCCGGCGAAGAAACGTTCCGGATCGGGGTCAAGAGACCGCTCTCTTATTGGTAACTGCCTCCTTCCCGTTAAACGACGGACTTTCCGCTCGTTCCCGAAGATCCTAGTCCAAAACCTACTTTTTCCACCTGGGAAACCGATTCGCGAAGTCGCGGTCGCACCTCGGCATAAGCCAAGGACGTAGAATCAGGAAATCGCGTTTATTTTCGCGAACACCCGAGGTTTAGCCTCGAAGCCACTTCGCCTCCTTTAAAAAGACGCGGGAACGTATTTCGGGAGAGGTGAAAAATTTTTTATTCGGTAATTAAATCCAGGACAGGCCGAGCTTGCAGAAGTGCATCGGCTCGCATGCAATGCCAGGGGCTGTCGGGAAACTCAAGGCCGACCCCGCGGACGTGATATCATTATGTCGGGAATTATATGAAGAATAATCGACGTTTAATTGGCCGGGCTTCTAGAGCCGCGATTTGAGTTCCGCTTCGGGGACTCCATCGGGCTCTTAGGTTTTTATTTTTCCTTTTTTCCTTTATCGCGGTATCAAGAATTGTCCTTGCTTATGATGATGTAAAGTGCGCTCCGTTCTGTCGGGTGCCCTCCTGTATGTCGAAACAAGAAATCTGATTGCCGGTGTCGATGCCGCAATTGCCGTCTTATATAGCCCGTACAGCAAGGGGACTAAGAAAAGGAAGAAATTAGACGGCAAGGATAGGGCAGGAATAATTAGACATTAAATTTCTTTCTCGCGAGGAATGCCATTTTATTCCGATGCAGTTGCGAGGCAGCAGGCTTCGGATCGCGGAGGTCGTATTATGCAGTGCGGGGGCAAAAAGTGCGCTTCGAGTCTGGGTTACGGCGGGGTATCGATTAAGGGTAGTTTTCCAAAGTGTAGGTCTGCCCTCCTTTTAATACTCGGGGGTTATCGAACTTAACCAGTAAACGATCGTGCACGTGCCCGCGACCGGGAATCCTCTCTCCGGCCTCTCGATCGGAATCGATATAATCACGCCGGGCCGTTCTTTAATCCCGGACCTCGAATCGCGTTCAACGATCGTCGATCGAAACGGCCAGTGATAACACTCGAATTTTATATTTCCTATCTGGGGCCATCGACCTACCGGTTTAATACGGTGCACGGTGCAGCCTGTAACGAATTGCACCCGACACGCGTCACCCTTGTAACGAGACCTCTTTACGCCGAAAGGTTTTCGAAAATCGGGAGAAGTCAAGCCGAAAAGCCTATTACAATTCAAAGTCCCCCCCCCCGAAACCGCATTACCGACTTTGCCGCAAATTTTCACCAGAAATCCAGGGCATGTCGCGATTATTAGCCGAATATCGCGGCCGTTTATCGGTACCGCTGGTCGAGCCCTCGAGCTAAACGTACCATTTATCGGTAATTAGACCCAATGACTTTAATTAACATTCCGCCGGAGAGAGACGGCCAACCGTCCGATCGAAAGGGATTTCATTGGGGGAGGTTTGTTAAAGGCTCGTGGAATTTTGTTCACGTCTGCAGAGATATTCGTCCGAACGGCCGCAGTTTTTGCGGATCCAGGGTTTCTCGCCTGGCGATGTTCTTCCCTGATAACGCGCAGACGTGCCGTGTCCGGGCAGTGGCGAGATTACGCGGGAAAATGGGTGCCAAACTCGGCTTCCATTTCACCGACCGGCGGTGTCATTGCGACTCCCGAATGCTATCGGGGCCATCATCGGCGATTTTAATCGATATAGCTTTCGTGACCGCTCATTCGATTCAAGTTATCTCTTAAAAACAGACCCGCCCGCGATTTAACGGGACCTAGCACGAGGAGCACCAACGAGTCGATACTTTTTATTATCGACAGGGTACATCGGGGGTGACAATTTTTTTTCCGGAAAAAAACCGGGGCTCGAGGGCGGCGCCGTCGATCGGTGAAAAAATTCCCAGGCGCAACGCGTGCCTCGAAATAATTGAGGAAGTTCCGGGGAGGCAGA